TCAAATATATAATACTGTAAAATATATAGAATGTTTCAGGATATTATAACTCGTGAAACTTTGCTTCAGGTTTTTCACATTGGTCAACAGAGATAGCACACGTGACACAGTTCTTTAAAAAAGATTTTAGTTAGACAACCATGAGCAATCTATCAACGTATTATCTGTTAATCGTTTGAACAAAGGATGTTGTTTTTGTACGTCCTCTTTAAGACAGGTGTATTCCGTCTGTGTTGGTCAACCTACATACATAAACACTAACTTTTAATGTTGAACGAACTTTATGGATAACAACTTCTTTTATTTTGGCAGAGCACTCACGAAATAAAAGATGTTGTACTAAATAACTTGTACAAGCATTTGTTGTGTACTAAAGTTAATAATTGTGTATGCATATTTACCTAAGTAGTGTTTTTAAATTATAGCAATGGCAAAATGGGGTTGATATAGGTTATAGCTTCAAATAAATCAAATGTATGTTTTTAGGATTATAGGTCAGTTGACATGACACTGTCACATGACATGATTAGAAACCAAGGTATAAACACAGCAATGGAATCCTAATCAATCGGGGGCACGGTGGGCGAGCTGTCTAAGGAGCCAGGCTAGTGATCCAGTGAACTTCAGGTGCCGGGATCCAGACCACCCGTGACCGGGTGTAAAAACCTTGGAGTCAACTTTGTTGTGCAGATTCTTTCAGTGTTGTCACAACCTCTAGTGTACAGTACACAAACCTGTGCTCTTAAAAGAATCCACGAATCTGTTTGTGTGACGAATCTGTTGGTAAATAACCAGATGGTGGCCAGCAATTAGCAGTAAACTTGGACAAAGTACTGTGACTATGTGTCCCAGTCCACCCAGCTGTGAATGGGTACCTCGTAAGGATGGGAAAGCTGCAATAACTTGGTGTGCCTAGTGGCTGCAAGAGTTGTATGATCCCCGGGGAGTTGAGATTGACACCCAATGATCGAGGGGAAAAAAATAGCATCTTGAGCATGTACTAGATGCGTGGATATTGGAGCTATATGAATTCCCAATAATAATAATAATAATAATAATAATCACAGTCATTGTCTCAATGTTAATGTCCTCTGTCCTTACAGATAAGAGTCCAGTCTCCTGTCACACTCACTTGCATCCACCAGTAAATCATCTCACGGCAGCTAATGAGACCTATGTGGTGGTGTTAGACTGCCAGGTTGTCCACATAGATTAGTGCCCCTTTAATGTAGAGTGTCTTGTATTCAGTGACGCTGGAGGTATAGTGGTGATTTGTCTCTGCATCTGAAGAAATGTTCTGAGCTCATGTTTTTAGCTATTTTAGTTAAGCGTTATAATGGCCATAACCATTGTCCATGTAATCCTCGGCTGCCATGGGATCCGAGTTGCAGTCAGCAGGCAACTGTGAATTAGAAGGAACCATCTGATCTGTAGCAGACATCCGAATTATTCAAATAATCTGTAATGGAATATAAAGACAGTGTATCTCGGCTTGCTGATGTTATTAAAGGCACTGTGACAAACTCCCACCGGATGATATTGCCGTTATCTCCCAGCCTCTCAGTTGGCGTGACATCACTCGTGAAGCTGGTTAGATTATCTCAATACTCAAGGGAATATACATGGAAACATGGGAGCCCCATCTGTTCACCATTATATGATAGCAATGTGTTTACGATGGTAGTTGGACAAGATGATGAAGAACCATGGAGAAAAAAAACAACATTCCAACTATCCTGGCTGTGTTGGCTGATTGTAGTTTCATGTATATAGTCACCCTCGTGGGGATTACGTGGGATGCTGGTTTCACAACTCTACATGCAAACTGGAGATCAAGTGTCAGTTTTAAAATATTTTCATGAAATAGGATTTATATTCACCATGTACTCGTGATGTTCCTATGCCGAATATGCAATTAGTTTTGGACAAACATGTTTATGATAAGGAAACTATATTATTTTTAATGGAAAACAGAAAGTTTGTATAGTCTGCATGACTATCACAGAGTTTCAGTTTTCTGAATTAGCAATATTTACAAAATATGTGTGTGATTATGGTTCATATAAAAGTTGGAATGTGAAGGCAGAACCTAAATGTGTTGATGAGCCATTATAAAGATGAGGTGCTCGTTTTTGCTGTAGGGTGTATGTTATTACAAGTTATATTTCCGCATGATTTGCCTAGAGTTGGTTTGCTCCTCAACGTCTTCCAACGCTGATGTAGGGTGCTGCTGCTGCCGCCGGCACTGCCTGCAAAGAACAGCTGCAGAGTTGCTGATAGTATGTGTACTGCCCTCAGCGCCAAAACGAAATAACAACTTCATTTATGTTCTCATGTCTTTCATTTTCACACATTTTCACAGCCACTCTCTCATTACAAATTTCTGGTTCCTGGTTCCTGTTCAGTTTTACCCAAACATGCAAACATTGGACCGAATGAACTATGAATTCTGTGACATGAACTAGTTAACCTCAAAATGATGAGACATTTTCAAATATATCTGAGAGAGGGTGTTTGCCAGTAAAACTTGTTTAATTTTATTAATTATCTGAGGGAGCGTGAAGCGAGTGAATGCTGTTGAATATATTCTGCCCATCTTGGAAAAAGTGTGAAATCAGCAAATGATGTTAAATATTTCTGCCCATCTTGGATAGAGTGTGAAGCCAGTGAATGCTGTTTAATATATTTCTGCCCATCTTGGATAGAGTGTGAAGCCAGTGAATGCTGTTTAATATATTTCTGCCCATCTTGGATAGAGTGTGAAGCCAGTGAATGCTGTTTAATATATTTCTGCCCATCTCAGAGAGTTGTCAGTGTTTGGGAGTTAGGTGTGGGTAGGGTTTGGGTGGGGTTGGGGTTGAGATGTGGGTGCAGGATGCAGCAGTGAGTCTAGCCCAGTCAGTAGGAATCTTGCTACGTTCCTACTATTTTATTCCTGTTGTTGTTCTCCGTGCAATGTGAAATTCCTCACACCTTTTTGTTGTTCTCCGTACAATGTGAAATTCCCCACACCCTGTTGTTGTTATCCGTACGGTGTGAAATTCCCCACACCCTGTTGTTGTTCTCCGTACGGTGTGAAATTCCCCACACCCTCTTGTTGTTCTCCGTACAGTGTGAAATTCCCCACACCCTGTTGTTGTTCTCCATAGAATGTGAAATTCCCCACACCCTGTTGTTGTTCTCCATAGAATGTGAAATTCCCCACACCCTCTTGTTGTTCTCCATAGAATGTGAAATTCCCCACACCCTGTTGTTGTTCTCCTTACGGTGTGAAATTCCCCACACCCTGTTGTTGTTCTCCATAGAATGTGAAATTCCCCACACCCTATTGTTGTTCTCCATAGAATGTGAAATTCCCCACACCCTCTTGTTGTTCTCCGTACAGTGTGAAATTCCCCACACCCTCTTGTTGTTCTCCGTACGGTGTGAAATTCCCCACACCCTCTTGTTGTTCTCCATAGAATGTGAAATTCCCCACACCCTGTTGTTGTTCTCCATAGAATGTGAAATTCCCCACACCCTCTTGTTGTTCTCCATAGAATGTGAAATTCCCCACACCCTGTTGTTGTTCTCCGTACGGTGTGAAATTCCCCACACCCTGTTGTTGTTCTCCATAGAATGTGAAATTCCCCACACCCTATTGTTGTTCTCCGTAGAATGTGAAATTCCCCACACCCTCTTGTTCTCTGTACAATGTGAAATTCCCCACACCCTGTTGTTGCGTGGGGGGTGCTGACTGATGATGGTTTTGTCTGCCATAAATGACATTCAGCAGGAAATATAGAACTTTACTTCCACAAGCACAGACAGGTTCATTACAGAATACATACATATTTGGAGAAAAACATGTTGGTTGGTTGACAAATGTGATACAAGGAGCTTCATCTGTCTCCATTCTGCATGTCAGTGGGTTTTGTTGCCCAAGTGTTGCACATAGTTTGCTGCTAGCTCGCACACACCAGGGTCGGTCGGGTAGCCTAGTGGTTAAAGCGTTGGCTCAGTCAGTCAGTCACTCAGTCCAGTCAGTCAGTCACTCAGTCAGTCAGACAAGTCCAGAATCCGGGAGTCACTTGTGCTTTGTGGCTTCAATCACGTCAAATATCACAATACAAGGAAACTTGTGATGAAGAAAAGTAATGTTTCCTGAAACAATATGTATACAAGATTCAAGATACAAGATAAATATTGCACAGATGTTCCCTGTAGAAACAGTGACAATATTAACTATATAATAGGCAGTCTGTCTCACAGTCCCTAAACTGCATCGTTTTCCCTTCCCATTTGTTGTAGTGACCTAGGATTGTCTAGAGATATCTCAGATATGTTTTCAGTTGTATATATGCTGTATAGGATAAAACACTCCTCCTCGGTTTTGGTGGAGATTGTAAAACCTCAGGGGAAGGAAATCCCGAGGGCGCATCAGCCAACACCTTGCCCCGCACGCGCAATCCGTGTCCTGCACGCAGCTCGCTGCCGTCGCCCGAGTACCTGTCGTGTGAGAAACACATGGTTCATACTGACAAACAATCTCATTCCTCACAGCGATCCTTCGTAGCGTAGTGGATAAAACCGCCAAGCTAGAAAGCGATGGGTTGTGGGTTCGAAACCAGTTATCGCCAAAAAATGTTGGAAGTTTTCAATAATTAGAAATTTTACGATCAGTCATCAGGGTATGAGGTTTTACAACGACCATTGTAAAACTTCGTACCTCGTATGAGGTATTACAACGGTCATTGTAAAACCTCCTGCGAGGTATTACAATGATCATTGTAAAACCTCCTGCAATCGTAAAACCTCTACCGAGGTTATTCCATAATGCGAAGCAACTGCAAGAACAATAGACAACATTGGCCATAGGTTTATAAAACTGATTATTTCATTGTATGGGGGAAACTTAGAGAATATGTTATCACTTTCCTGTCACATGCTTGCGGGACATAGCTTTAGACTGGAGACCTTGATTTAACCATGACTAACAGTGCTGACCATCTTGTCCCCAGAGTCGCCGCCAATGTCTCCGACCACCTGGATTGCCCCCGGTATTGCCTTCTCTGCATCGGCCATCTTAATCATCGGGACCATCATCGCCTACCTCTGGCACAGGAAATACAGGTAGTACATCCTTCAACCATGTTTCCTTCAACCATGGTCAATGTATTGCTACATGGCTTCACAGTTCTTGTATTGCTACATGGTGCTGCATAACTTAATGGTCCTTGTACTGCTGACTGGTTTAATGATCAGTGTTTTGAAACATGGTTTAATGGTCAGTGTATTCATAAATGGTGTAATGGTCAGTGTATTGCCACATGGTTTAATGGTCTGTGTATTGCCACATGGTTTAATGGTCTGTGTATTGCCACATGGTTTAATGGTCAGTGTATTGCTACATGGTTTAATGGTCAGTGTATTGCCACATGGTTTAATGGTCTGTGTATTGCCACATGGTTTAATGGTCAGTGTATTGCCACATGGTTTAATGGTCAGTGTATTGCTACATGGTTTAATGGTCAGTGTATTGCCACATGGTTTAATGGTCAGTGTATTGCTACATGGTTTTATGGTCATTGTATTGCTACGTGGTTTAATGGTCAGTGTATTACCAAATGGTTTTATGGTCATTATATTGCTACATGGTTTAATGGTCAGTGTATTGCTACATGGTTTAATGGTCAGTGTATTACCACATGGTTTAATGGTCAGTGTATTCCTAAATGGTGTAATGGTCAGTGTATTGCTGCATGGTTTAATGATCAGTGTACTGCCACATGGTTTAATGGTCAGTGTATTGCTACATGGTTTAATGGCCTGTGTATTGCTATATGGTTTAATGGTCAGTGTATTGCCACATGGTTTAATGGTCAGTGTATTCCTAAATGGTGTAATGGTCAGTGTATTGCCACATGGTTTAATGGTCAGTGTATTCCTAAATAGTGTAATGGTCAGTGTATTGCCACATGGTTTAATGGTCAGTGTATTACCACATGGTTTAGTGGTCAGTGTATTGCTACATGGTTTAATGATCAGTGTATTGCTACATGGTTTAATGGTCAGTGTATTGCCACATGGTTTAATGGTAAGTGTATTGCTACATGGTTTAATGGTCAGTGTATTGCCACATGGTTTAATGGTAAGTGTATTGCTACATGGTTTAATGGTAAGTGTATTGCTACATGGTTTAATGGTCAGTGTATTGCTACATGGTTTAATGGTCAGTGTATTGCCACATGGTTTAATGGTCAGTGTATTGCTACATGCTCAATTTATTGCTACAACGTTTCAAGTCATTGTATTGCTGCATGGATTCAATACATGGTCTCATAGTTGTATTGCTAAAATGGTTTCAGGGACTTACTTAACAGATCAGGAGATCTCCTCCCTAATTTGTTGTTTGTTTGGTTTGTTTATATTGTCAGATACATCTATCACATAGTGACATGCAGTCAACCAGTAGGACCACTCATTCCATCCTGTAGCCGCTTGTGACTTCAGGTTACGAGGGATCAATATGGTTCCCCAGAATACCCTCAGGTATCCCCCACCTAAAGCACCAGACATTAACAGTCTTGTACTTCCACTCATAAGGTAATTAACCTGTCCTGCCCTCGGCCAGACAGTATAGATCAGTGATAGACTGGGTGCCCAAGGAAAGGATGTACCACCAGAGCCAGGCCCATCAAGGTGACAATTACAACCAGTTAGATTGACTTAATTCTCACTCAATGTTCTATGATTAAAGTTATATGATTGGTCTTCCCTCTCCTCTCCCCCTGCCCCTCACACTTGAAACAGTCTCCCCTCCCCCCCTGCCCCTAACGCTTGAAGTGGTCTCCCCTGTCCTCTCCCCTGCCCCTCACACTTGAAACAGTCTCCCCTCTCCCCCTGCCCCTAACGCTTGAAGTGGTCTCCCCTGTCCTCTCCCCTGCCCCTCACACTTGAAACAGCTCCCCTCTCCTCTGCCCCTCGCACTTGAAGTGGTCTCCCCGTCCTATCCGGTTCCCCCTATCTAGCGCTTGAAGTGGTCTCCCCTGTCCCGCTGCCCCTAGCGCTTGAAGTGGTCTCCCTGTCCTCTCCCCTGACCCTCGCACTTGAAGTAGTCTCCCCGTCCTCTCACGATGCCCCTAATGCTTGAAGTGGTCTCCCCTGTCCCTGCTGCCCCTAACGCTTGAAGTGGTCTCCCCTGTCCCCCTGCCCCTCATACTTGAAGTAGTCTCCCCTGTCCTCTTGCCTGTCCTCTCTACCCCTGCCCCTCACACTTGAAGTGGTCTCCCTCCACCTCTCCCCCACCCCTAATACTTGAAGTGGGTGGTGTCCCCTCTCCTCACCCTCTTCCCCTCCCGGCCCCTCCCCTTCACACTTGAAGTGCTCTCCCCTCTCCCCCACCCTCCTGCCCTCCCCTCACACTTGAAGTGGTCTTCTCCCCTGTCCTCTCCCCTGGCCCCTCACACTTGAAGTGGTCTCCCTCCCCCCCTCTCCTCTCTCTCCCCTGCCCCTTCACACTTGAAGTGGTCTCCCCCTGTCCCTCTTCCCCCTGCCCCTCACACTTGAAGTGGTCTCCTCTGCCCCCCTCTCCCTCCCTCCCCCTGGCCCTCACACTTGAAGTGGTCTCATCTGTCCCTCTCCCTGCCCCTAATGCTTGAAGTGGTCTCTCCCTCACCTCTCTCCCCCCCCCTAACACTTGAAGTGGTCTCCCCTCTCCTCTTGAAGAGGTCTTCTCCCCTTGACCCTCACACTTGAAGTGGTCTTCCCTGTCCCCCCTGCCCCTCTCACTTGAAGTGGTCTCCCCCCTCTCCTCTCCCCTGGCCCTCACACTTGAGTGGTGGTCTCATCTGTCCTCTCCCCTCTCCCCTAATGCTTGAAGTGGTCTCCCTCACCTCTCCCCTGCCCCTAATGCTTGAAGTGGTCTCTCCCTCTCCTCTCTTCTCCCCTGCCCCTCACACTTGAAGTGGTCTTCCCTGTCCCCTGCCCCTTGCACTTGAAGAGGTCTCCCCCCCCTCCCTCTCCTCTCCCCCTGGCCCTCACACTTGAAGTGGTCTCATCTGTCCTCTCCCCTGCCCCTAATGCTTGAAGTGGTCTCCCTCTCCTCTCCCCTGCCCCTCACACTTGAAGTGGTCTTCCCTGTCCCGCTGCCCCTCACACTTGAAGTGGTCTTCCCTGTCCCCATGCCCCTCACACTTGAAGTGGTCTCCCCTGCCCCTCGTACTTGAAGTGGTCTCCCCTGTCCTCTCTCCCTGCCCCTCGCACTTGAAGTGGTCTCCCCTGTTCTCTCCCCCTGCCCCTCACACTTGAAGTGGTCTCATCCGTCCTCTCCCCCTGCCCCTCACACTTGAAGTGGTCTCATCTGTCCTCTCCCCCTGCCCCTAATGCTTGAAGTGGTTGCCTATCTCCTATGTCTTTCAGATTAGCAAATTAGTTCACAGCCTTTCAAGGATGAAAAGTTTGAGCATTATTTTCCAGTGTTGTTTTCAACGTATCTTTTTTAAATGAAACCTTCCTTATTTTTCTTTATGTTTTACATTTTAGACTTTTGACTACAAAATTTCCTTAAGAAACAAAAAATAGAGTGTATGTGTGTCTGTTAATGTGTGCTGGTTGTTGAGGTGCTGGTGTCTGTTTACAGGAGCAAATACACAGTGGACAGCATGCGATACCACAGCTACAAGGGCGGCCAAAGTACTACCTCTGACCACGCCCTGAAGGTGGAGAGCTACTCTGTTACAGTCATCAGCACCGGCAAAATGGTCAACATGCTTGAGAGTGGTGAACATGAGACACATCTGGACCAAGACGAAAGTGTAAAGGTGGATGTTGAAAGTGAAGCAGATATTACATCTGAGCATGACAAGCTGGACATAACATCCAGCCCCGAGTCTCCAGACAAGGACTACTCAAGCTTTGTGCTGCCCAATGTTGTGCCCTACCAAGACATGTTCCCTCATGGTGACCACGCCCTGTATCAGAGATCATATGACCCCAACAAAGACATGAAGGGCCTTGGCAAGAGTGTGAGTAGTGAGCCCATCAGACCCACAGGCCGGGTGTTAGAAGTCGGGTATGTCAACCCAGCCTATGATGGCAATGATAGTCTTAAGGAGGGACCTTCACCAAAGAAGAAGAAAAGGAAACCGAGGATGTTTTTCAGTGATAGGAAGGCAGCGAGCAAACAAATGAAATATTAGAGTTCTTTATGCAAACTCTGAACTGTGCAGTTGGGTTTACTACTGAGCTGTGTGGAGATTCAGCTTTGCATAGTACAGTTGCACAGGGAGAGGCTGAAGATGTACCTGTGTATACAGGTGTACAGGGAGAGGCTGAAGATGTACCTGTGTATACAGGTGTACAGGGAGAGGCTGAAGATGTACCTGTGTATACAGGTGTACAGGGAGAGGCTGAAGATGTACCTGTGTATACAGGTGTACAGGGAGAGGCTGAAGATGTACCTGTGTATACAGGTGTACAGGGAGAGGCTGAAGATGTACCTGTATACAGGTGTACAGGGAGAGGCTGAAGATGTACCTGTGTATACAGGTGTACAGGGAGAGGCTGAAGATGTACCTGTGTACAAAGGTGAACAGGGAGAGGCTGGTTATCACACATAATAGCTCTGTAATCGTACAATAATTGATTGTAATCCTATCCCCATCAGAAAATTCAAGTGGATAATAACAAGATACGATCATACCTGTGTATAGTCAGAGGGTGTACAGTCAGAGGCTGACAATGTGTATACAGGTGTGGAGGGAGAGATTGTACCTGGGTGTATACAGCATATGATATACCTATATACACCTATATTCATGCACATATATCAAATGTTGTATGCTGCCATGGAACGGTGCTACATGAGAAACATTTGGTTCCCAGACTTAATGAGGTCAAAGGAGCACTGATCTGTGACAGTTCCCTGGGACCGACTGTTGCCTTTGTTACTGGTGATATCACAGATGATATCCTTGAAATCTTGGCTGGTTTGCAGTTTATGCTCTGACAACCATGTGCCCAATTGAGAGTATAAGGACATACCTTCATGTTAATCAACACGGATGAAGTACAGTTTCATCTCCAGCACTTAATATTGAAATTTAGGCGTTTGTGTTGTGCATTTTTGTTAACACTAGTTCAACTTGTAACCGAAACTATTGATTACACCTGAACATCGCCTATAAATCAAATCATGTGTAAATATTACAGTCAGTGTGTACAATGGCTGTTAGTTTCACTGAGGCAATACATAAGATTCTAAATATTTTCAGTTATTTTACAAATTGGCTACATAATGTATTTATGTAGTTTATAATGACAACAACTATAAGCTTTTGAAGTTTACTTTTATCTGACTGAAATGACATTACTGTAATGATTTGGCTTCTTTTCAGCAGTTTGGGATTTAGTTTACAGCCCAAAATAACCAAACTTTTGTTTTTACTTTTATAAGCCTACTTATATAGCAATATTACGTGATATCAGCATATATCAAGCTATCAAACACAAGCTATTGTGTAATCATATGGAACACAAGCTGTTGTGTAATCATATGGAACACAAGCTATCATGTAATCATATGGAACACAAGCTGTCATGTAATCATATGGAACACAAGCTGTTGTGTAATCATATGGAACACAAGCTGTCATGTAATCATATGGAACACAAGCTGTTGTGTAATCATATGGAACACAAGCTGTCATGTAATCATATGGAACACAAGCTGTCATGTAATCATATGGAACACAAGCTGTTGTGTAATCATATGGAACACAAGCTATCGTGTAATCATATGGAACACAAGCTGTTGTGTAATCATATGGAACACAAGCTGTCATGAAATCAATGGAACACAAGCATCATATGGAACACAAGCTGTTGTGTAATCATATGGAACCCAAGCTATCGTGTAATCATATGGAACACAAACTGTTGTTTAATCATATGGAACACAAGCTGTCATGTAATCATATGGAACACAAGCTGTTGTGTAATCATATGGAACACAAGCTGTTGTGTTATCATATGGAACACAAGCTGTTGTGTAATCATATGGAACACAAGCTGTTGTGTAATCATATGGAACGCAAGCTGTTGTGTAATCATATGGAACACAAGCTGTTGTGTAATCATATGGAACACAAGCTATTGTGTAATCATATGGAACACAAGCTGTCATGTAATCATATGGAACACAAGCTGTCATGTAATCATATGGAACACAAGCTGTCATGTAATCATATGGAACACAAGCTGTCATGTAATCATATGGAACACAAGCTGTCATGTAATCATATGGAACACAAGCTGTTGTGTAATCATATGGAACACAAGCTATCGTGTAATCATATGGAACACAAGCTATCGTGTAATCATATGGAACACAAACTGTTGTTTAATCATATGGAACACAAGCTGTTGTGTAATCATATGGAACACAAGCTGTTGTGTAATCATATGGAACACAAGCTGTTGTGTAATCATATGGAACACAAGCTGTTGTGTAATCATATGGAACACAAGCTGTTGTGTAATCATATGGAACACAAGCTATTGTGTAATCATATGGAACACAAGCTATTGTGTAATCATATGGAACACAAGCTGTTGTGTAATCATATGGAACACAAGCTATTGTGTAATCATATGGAACACAAGCTGTTGTGTAATCATATGGAACACAAGCTGTTGTGTAATCATATGGAACACAAGCTGTTGTGTAATCATATGGAACACAAGCTATTGTGTAATCATATGGAACACAAGCTGTTGTGTAATCATATGGAACACAAGCTATTGTGTAATCATATGGAACACAAGCTGTTGTGTAATCATATGGAACACAAGCTATTGTGTAATCATATGGAACACAAGCTGTTGTGTAATCATATGGAACACAAGCTATTGTGTAATCATATGGAACACAAGCTGTTGTGTAATCATATGGAACACAAGCTATTGTGTAATCATATGGAACACAAGCTGGTGTGTAATCATATGGAACACAAGCTATTGTGTAATCATATGGAACACAAGCTATCGTGTAATCATATGGAACACAAGCTATTGTGTAATCATATGGAACACAAGCTATTGTGTAATCATATGGAACACAAGCTATTGTGTAATCATATGGAACACAAGCTGTTGTGTAATCATATGGAACACAAGCTGTTGTGTAATCATATGGAACACAAGCTGTTGTGTAATCATATGGAACACAGGCTGTCATGTAATCATATGGAACACAAGCTATTGTGTAATCATATGGAACACAAGCTATCATGTAATCATATCAAAAGCTACTCGTGTAATCATATGGAACACAAGCTGTCATGTAATCATATGGAACACAAGCTGTTGTGTAATCATATGGAACACAAGCTGTCATGTAATCATATGGAACACAAGCTATTGTGTAATCATATGGAGCACAAGCTATCGTGTAATCATATGGAACACAAGCTGTCATGTAATCATATGGAGCACAAGCTGTTGTGTAATCATATGGAACACAAGCTGTCATGTAATCATATGGAACACAAGCTGTTGTGTAATCATATGGAACACAAGCTGTCATGTAATCATATGAAACACAAGCTGTCATGTAATCATATGGAGCTCAAGTATCAAGTAATCATATGGAACACAAGCTGTCATGTAATCATATGGAACACAAGCTGTTGTGTAATCATATGGAACACAAGCTGTCATGTAATCATATGGAACACAAGCTGTCATGTAATCATATGGAACACAAGCTATCATGTAATCATATGGAACACAAGCTATCATGTAATCATATGGAACACAAGCTATCATGTAATCATATGGAACACAAGTTATCGTGTAATCATAGGGAACACAGAAATGGGATGCAAATGAAGTCATCTTGTCGTCAGAAATGCAGGGATACGTTGTCCTCTTATCAGACTATAGTCCGTTTGGCTCAAAATCGGACCGATGAATTGCAATCTAACTCGAAAACTAATAAACATATAATACTCAATGTATTGGTATATCCGAATCTTCAAAGATCACGGCTAACCAATCCATGTTCAGAAATGCATATACACATTGTGCCAAAGTTTAGTGATCTGTCATAGCCTGGTCTCCTGTTTCACTTAGTCAGCCAGTATGTTGTCTTAGGTCAGCTAATGAGTCCTAGGAGGGGGGTTGAGGTCAGAGGTCAGTTCCCCTTTAAGGACTTTTCGGTTGATGCAGTATCCAAAACTTGAACACATCATCACATTTGCTCAGCCATTCCAGGTCACAATGTTTCAGCCTTTTTTTATTATCTACTGTTTCAAATGTCAGCACAGATGTCTATTGTCCGTGTAAATTTACAATCATTTTCAATGTAGAAAAACATATGTACAGTCTTCCACATTGTTTTGTAAAGTTTACATTGTCAACACTCTTAGCTTTTTAATTGTTAATGTAGTCTTCCACTGTGACACGTCAACAGACACACAACTAGTGTGTGCTTATCAAGCTCTTGTGTCAGCCTGTTCCTGGGTGTGCACAGGATCCATGTGTGAGATCTGGGTACTGTGACCAGGTCAGACAGGATCCTTGTGTGTGAGATCTGGGTACTGTGACCAGGTCAGACAGGATCCTTGTGTGAGATCTGGGTACTGTGACCAGGTCAGACAGGATCTATGTGTGTGAGATGTGCGTACTGTGACCAGGTCAGACAGGATCCATGTGTGTGAGATCTGGGGACTGTGACCAGGTCAGACAGGATCCATGTGTGAGATCTGGGTACTGTGACCAGGTCAGACAGGATCCATGTGTGAGATCTGGGTACTGTGACCAGGTCAGACAGGATCCATGTGTGTGAGATGTGGGTACTGTGACCAGGTCAGACAGGATCCATGTGTGTGAGATGTGGGTACTGTGACCAGGTCAGACAGGATCCATGTGTGAGATGTGGGTACTGTGACCAGGTCAGACAGGATCCATGTGTGTGAGATCTGGGTACTGTGACCAGGTCAGACAGGATCCATGTGTGTGAAATCTGGGAAATGTGACCAGGTCAGACAGGATCCATGTGTGAGATGTGGGTACTGTGACCAGGTCAGACAAGATCCATGTGTGTGAGATCTGGGTACTGTGACCAGGTCAGACAGGATCCATGTGTGTGAGATGTGGGTACTGTGACCAGGTCAGACAGGATCCATGTGTGAGATGTGGGTACTGTGACCAGGTCAGACAGGATCCATGTGTGTGAGATGTGGGTACTGTGACCAGGTCAGACAGGATCCATGTGTGTGAGATCTGGGTACTGTGACCAGGTCAGACAGGATCCATGTGTGTGAGATGTGGGTACTGTGACCAGGTCAGACAGGAGCCATGTGTGTGAGATCTGGGTACTGTGACCAGGTCAGACAGGATCCATGTGTGTGAGATGTGGGTACTGTGACCAGGTCAGACAGGATCCATGTGAGATGTGGGTACTGTGACCAGGTCAGACAGGATTCATGTGTGAGATCTGGGTACTGTGACCAGGTCAGACAGGATCCATGTGTGAGATCTGGGTACTGTGACCAGGTCAGACAGGATCCATGTGTGTGAGATGTGGGTACTGTGACCAGGTCAGACAGGATCCTTGTGTGAGATCTGGGTACTGTGACCAGGTCAGACAGGATCCTGGGTACTGTGACCAGGTCAGACAGGATCCATGTGTGAGATCTGGGTACTGTGACCAGGTCAGACAGGATCCATGTGTGAGATCTGGGTACTGTGACCAGGTCAGACAGGATCCATGTGTGAGATCTGGGTACTGTGACCAGGTCAGACAGGATCCATGTGTGAGATCTGGGTACTGTGACCAGGTCAGACAGGATCCATGTGTGAGATCTGGGTACTGTGACCAGGTCAGACAGGATCCATGTGAGATCTGGGTACTGTGACCAGGTCAGACAGGATCCATGTGTGAGATCTGGGTACTGTGACCAGGTCAGACAGGATCCATGTGTGAGATCTGGGTACTGTGACCAGGTCAGACAGGATCCATGTGTGAGATCTGGGTACTGTGACCAGGTCAGACAGGATCCATGTGTGAGATCTGGGTACTGTGACCAGGTCAGACAGGATCCATGTGTGAGATCTGGGTACTGTGACCAGGTCAGACAGGATCCATGTGTGAGATCTGGGTACTGTGACCAGGGCAGACAGGATCCATATGTGTGAGATGTGGGTACTGTGACCAGGGCAGACAGGATCCATGTGTGTGAGATGTGGGTACTGTGACCAGGGCAGACAGGATCCTTGTGTGAGATCTGGGCATCATGTTTCAAGACAAACTGTATGATTAAGTGAATGTGTTCTGTGTTGCCATGTTTACACCAGTTATGTTTCTGAAGTGTTTACTATACAAGTTATCAGTGTCACAGCTCAGTGTATGGTTTCCGTTTCAGTATTATTTTCTGTTGAATACATGTATGATGTTATCCCAATAATTTCACTCTCTGTGAATGATTGTATATACAGAACTATTTATTATTATTATTGAATGTTTGTATGTAACAACATGAAATAAACTCAACATATGAACCATCAACCAGGTCTGTTTTTGTCATGACTGCGATATTACAAGTTGACCAAATTGATCTTGATTTGGTAGGGTGGATACATGTTGTACAGGGACTGTAAACAAGGTCCGAGAACATGACATTTTACTCTATGCCCACAGCTGACTGATGTCCTATTAGATGCTGATATGTGAGTGACAGTCCAGGATTGAAAGGTTTTGCTATCATATCATAACTCCATTCAGTAGAAATGACAAAAATGAAGAAAACGATAGTTTGGATTTAAATTTGTATTTTAATCCTTTAATACCCAAGCAGACATCACATTTTCTCTCAGAATCACTCCCAGTATACAGATGCTCATTTACATATGGTGGAGTTTGTACAATCATATCTGTGACTCACAGACACTCTACATAAACAACCATGGATCCTCTACATAAATATCTGTGATTAACAGATGTTCTATTTATATATATATATAATATTTATATATATAGTGATACTCTACACAAATATCTGTGATCCACAGACTCTTGACTTGAATATCAATGATCCCTTCCCATTCTACCCAAATATCTTTCTCAGCTTATGGTATTCTCTGTGCAGGAATAGAACCCAAGATTACACAAGAAAACACCCTGAGAGTAATTTTTCTGCTTTTGATGAAACTGAACATCAGAAAGCCACATTAAGAGAGGCACCACCAGACGCTCCAGTGGCAGCCAAAGGGTCAGATACACTCAAGTGGCAACCAGAGGGTCAGATAAATTCCAGTGGCATCCAGAGAATCAGATATGCTCCAGTTAATCCAGAGGGTCAGATAAATTCCAATGGCAGCCAGAGCATCAGATACACTCCAGTGGCAGCCAGAGCATCAGATACACTCCAGTGGCAGCCAGAGCATCAGATACACATCCCGTGGCAGCCAGAGCATCAGATACGCTCCAGTGGCAGCCAGAGCATCAGATACGCTCCAGTGGCAGCCAGAGCATCAGATACACTCCAGTGGCAGCCAGAGCATCAGATGGCGCGGAGCATCAGTGGCAGCCAGAGCATCAGATACACTCCAGTGGCAGCCAGAGCATCAGATACGCTCCAGTGGCAGCCAGAGCATCAGATATACGCTCCAGTGGCAGCCAGAGCATCAGAGACGTTCCAGTGGCAGCCAGAGCATCAGATACGCTCCAGTGGCAGCCAGAGCATCAGATACGCTCTACAGGCAGCTGGTGTTTTGGAAGCCTATGACGACCGTGACCAACAACTGTCCATAATAAATATTAGTAACTATTATCACACAGACAATGCATAGAGCATTTAAAGCACCTCATGTTTGTCTGACGACTACTCCTTGACAAGGCAGTAGTACCTCAGTCTGTGGTGACCAGATCACCCATTCCGACAAGGAGGAGGAAATAAGTAAAAGCCAACAGCATCTAAAACAACTATGGTTCCTCGGTAGAGTGGCTATCTGACAATAAGTGAGCTATGTTGTTCAGTTTCACCGTAACTTTACATCAGGTGAGATCTGCAGGTAGATCACCCCCTAATACTGCCCCAGTAAAGCACATATCAGTGCTGTTGTCAGGGAGGTAACTAAATGCTACAAAATCCTTGAATGATAGTGAACTAACAACACACTGTAGACTCTGCTGATACACACAAGCTCTGATTTCATTGTAGAATTGAAACAGGAGGAAAACAATCAGATTCTGTTCTTGCAGGTAGAAAACAAACTTTCTATATGTTTTTTTCCCCACACATATTTTCATGCTTTTAACTTGCCTACAATGATGTTTGTTTATAGCAGCATCCAATGTGCCGACTCCATGCAAGATGTTATTTTATATATGCTATAATGTTTCAATAATATTACAAGATTCCTGTTGGATTATTTGGCACATATTTTTCTTATGAATGGTTCTCACTACATCTCTTTCTGAAACCACAGTTTTCAGCTAGCTAGGAATATAAATACTGATGTAGAACTACAGATAAACAAGAAAGATGAACAGAAGATAAACAGAAGTGGTCCAGACTATGCACACACACACACACATTCCTAATCATCAAATTTGAAAACTGACAAAATATGAATCCTTATCATGAGAATCATCAATATTGTTGTATGATAAAAAGCATATGGAATAAAATGCCTTTCCTAAAAAGATCATTTGACATGGATTGGCCAACTATTTCTGAACAGAAGAGTAATGATAGTTAGGTGAAAGCACCACTCAGCACTCACACTTGTAGACTCTCTGCTCTACTGTGAGTGTAATACATCTCATCACCCTAGTATTGCCCCAGTCCCCAGATTGGTAGGTTCTAAGCAGGTGAAACACACACAAATAAATAGACAGCTGTAACAGCTGGTAAAAAACATAGCAAACTTCAAACACAGTCATTGACGGCACTGATATGATTAAATTAAATAGGGGCACATTATGTTGACACTGAAGTGATGAAAGCATCACTGGTTATAGTCTAGGAAGTCTACACCTCCCTCCATCCTGGCAGGAGGCAGTCTAAATGTACATATATACAGGGTTCATGTGGCACTCGACATCACAATGTCATACATACCAGTCCCCATCACAGCCATGAAGACAACTATCATGATGTAGTTAGGTGTGTAGGTATATTTAATGAGGCCATACCTTCACACAAGTTCTGACAAACATGCTACACAGCATCCGCTGACTGAGACATCCAGTCAGAGTCAGTACTGCCTTACACTCTGTGAGAGGAGCCAGTACTGCCTTACACTCTGTGAGAGGAGCCAGTACACCTTAGTTGGTACATTCACATCCATCTTTGCCAAATATGTAAGAGTTGTCATTGCACAAAGTACTAGAAGCCATGTGTGTGGAGGGTGGTTCAGGTAGCCAGAAGACCAGCAGCAGCTGCTGTGAGGATAGGACTAAAGGTCAACCAAGTATCGGCTCCAGACACAGCTTTGCTTCCAGAAACATTGATGAAATAATCTGTTGGTTTACTGATAGCCTGATGTAACACGATAGAGTTCTGCTCTACAGGTGAATGGTATGAAAGCCCACATCAAATGATGGCTGAACACAGTAATGCCCCTTGGATCAACTCTTCATAAATGCAGAGGCAATAGGGCATCATTCCCATTAATTCTTGAATAGTCCTCCTTGGCACTAAGATGATAACACCCTTCATCATTTCACGTGTACAATATTATGATGAATCCTGGTTTGAATTTGCAGGAGTGTAGATAGGCGTTATCTCGCTGTAAACCTGGTGTATGGAACACCATGAGATCCATGTGTTGTCTAGTTTAAGTGGAAGCCTTTCTCCTTGGTGGCATCCAACAGTCTTTCTCGGAGGATGCACTCAGAGGAGTACTCTGGGAGCTTCAGGTAGTGGACGCAGGTGTTCACAGAGGGGTAGCTGCTGTCGTTGCCATCGACCTTGCGCACAACTGTCAGTCGGGGGTGCAGGTTAGCAAGGCCTCCTGGTGGAAGTGAGGAGCAGCCGGTGGTGAACTGAAGGAAAGCTTTACGTTCATCCGCTGTTAGTCCAAGCAGGACGATTACCAACCTCTGGAAGCCAGGGCTGGAAGAGATAACAAGTCAACATAAACTTTCCATTCAAAAACTTTGTGAAATCTACAAAAACTGCCATAGTCTGGGGATGTAGCAAGAAAGCATGGGAGATCACTGAAGAACACCACCTGTGCATGTGACTCACCTCTCCAAGGTGTATGAGACTCACCTCTCCTGGATGTATGTGACTCACCTCTCCCGGGTGTATGTGACTCACCTCTCCAAGGTGTATGTGACTCACCTCTCCCAGGTGTATGTGACTCACCTCTCCCGGGTGTATGTGACTCACCTCTCCAAGGTGTATGTGACTCACCTCTCCCGGGTGTATGTGACTCACCTCTCCCGGGTGTATGTGACTCACCTCTCCCGGGTGCAAGAGACTCACCTCTCCCGGGTGTATGTGACTCACCTCTCACGGGTGTATGTGAATCACCTCTCCAAGGTGTATGTGACTCACCTCTCCCGGGTGCATGTGACTCACCTCTCCAAGGTGTATGAGACTCACCTCTCCCGGGTGTATGTGACTCACCTCTCCCGGGTGTATGAGACTCACCTCTGACGGCTGTATGTGACTCACCTCCCCTGGATGTATGAGACTCACCTCTCCCGGGTGTATGTGACTCACCTCTCCCGGGTGTATGTGACGGGTGTATGAGACTCACTCTCCCGGGCGGGTGTATGTGACTCACCTCTCCCGGGTGTATGTGACTCGCCTCTCCCGGGTGTATGTGACTCACCTCTCCCGGGTGTATGAGACTCGCCTCTCCCGGGTGTATGTGACTCACCTCTCCCGGGTGTATGTGACTCACCTCTCCTGGGTGCATGTGACTCGCCTCTCCCGGGTGTATGTGACTCACCTCTCCCAGGTGTATGAGACTCACCTCTCCCGGGTGTATGTGACTCACCTCTCCCGGGTGTATGTGACTCACCTCTCCCGGGTGCATGTGACTCGCCTCTCCCGGGTGTATGTGACTCACCTCTCCCGGGTGTATGAGACTCACCTCTCCCGGGTGTATGTGACTCACCTCTCCCGGGTGTATGAGACTCACTTCTAGCGGGTGTATGTGACTCACCTCTCCCGGGTGTATGTGACTCACCTCTCCCGGGTGTATGTGACTCACCTCTCCTGGGTGTATGTGACTCACCTCTCCCGGGTGTATGTGACTCACCTCTCAGGGTGTAGCCCATCATGGGCTCGGTGTATGTGACTCACCTCTCACAGGTGTAGCCCAGCTTGGGCTCGGTGTATGTGACTCACCTCTTACGGGTGTAGCCCAGCTTGGGCTCGGTGTATGTGACACCTCTCACAGGTGTAGCCCAGCTTGGGCTCGGTGTATGTGACTCAACTCTCACTTGTGTATCCCAGCTTGGGCTCGGTGTATGTGACTCACCTCTCACGGGTGTAGCCCAGCTTAGGCTCGGTGTATGTGACTCACTTCTCACAGGTGTAGCCCAGCTTGGGCTCGGTGTATGTGACTCACCTCTCACGGGTGTAGCCCAGCTTGGGCTCGGTGTATGTAATAATGTCCTCCCTGGTCCAGCAGGGGGCCTGGTCACCACATAGCAGACTGCCAAGCTCTGTCGGGCTGAAGGAGTGCAGCTTCTCCATTGGGAACACCAAGTTAAACCCAGCTGAAACACACAGTTGGGCTTCTTAGACAAAGGTATGACCTGTACTGTGCCTGCTTGTAGTACATCATCAGTCACTATTGAATTCATGAGTGACTTTGTGTTATACTGCTGTATATAGCATTCAGTCAGTAGTATCACAGAGATTGGGCATAAAGTTGGAGAAAAGTCAAAACTGATACAAGGTCTTTCAGTCTGTTTGGGTTATGAATTAAAGAACTTGAAATAGGGATAAGAGCACAAAAAATAAATAATACAAATGGTCCTGAAACCTGATCCCCATGGGATCTGAAATCTGACAATTTATGATCAATCACGGAAAAAGGTGTTGAAGAAACTATCATGTAATATTGGAAATTTTAATATAATTTGTGTATTTATATACTTATCCCATCTCACGACTTGCACCTCTCTCTCTTGCTTCGACTTTTAATGGAATGACTGTAAACTTTTTTTCATAGGCCTCCTTGTCCATTCGCCCATGCACTCCATGCTGCTCTCCTTAATTAGCTTCCTAGTTCCTAATAAAGCTTGCAGCATGCTCCACTAATTGCCCACGTGATTACCTTGAATGATCATTCTCATTTTGGAGCCAACGTTGTATCTGAGTAGTGGGGAGGCCGGGCGGGCATCCATCGCGTGAGATAGGATAAGTATATAAATATACAATTTATATTAACATTTCCAAATTTTTAAACTTATCCTATCTCACGACTTGCACTTATCCCACAGTTGGACGGCGGGCCGCAGATTACCCTTTTGTCTGGAAAGTGCGAACAGATGGTCTTGGAGCTGTGTGGACTGATGACAACCGTAGATAGCGATGTACAAGGGAGGCCTGTTACGCATGCACGCAACTCCTATGCTTATAGTGGGTTCTCCAGAACCCCTTGGCTTACTAAGCACAACGACTCCCAGGGAGATGGGTGCTCCTGAGCGGTGTGGTGTTCGGCCGCAACCTTGTACAAGACAAGGGACGCAAGTCGGCCTCGCCTCACCACGATTTACAAGGTACCCCCGTAAATAAAGTCTTGCGACTAGAATCGGGCCAGCCCCTGCTTCAAGAAGGCCCCCCAGACACCGACCGAGGCGGGTGAAAGAGAAACACAACTCGGCATCTCCAAGGTTTAACGTTCAGTTCCGGGCAGCATCAAATTGACCCTCACTCCTTTGCCTAAGTTTAGTCAAAGGATGTGCTCGGCAAGTTTGGAGGCAGAACGCAATGAAATCCACTGTGTCACAAGTGTCACACTTCACTGATGTAATTGCTCCATGGAGTAGAGGTCAGTAAGCGTGAATGTCGAACACCTCTGCATAGTCATACTGATTGTGCCTCAGGTCTGTAGGGCCATGCTAGGTGGCCGCATTCCGATGCCTTGGTATGGAGGCCAAGTGAAGTAGTTCAACTTTTATTCAGTATATACAAGGAAGCAGTAACGCGAATGCGGAACCGTCCCTCATCTGCGTTCTTGGGCCAATGTAAGCTGCTGAGCCAGTACAAGAGGTCCGAACTGGTGTAGTCCCTGGACATCCGTGACATACAGGTCTCGCAGGTAATGTGAAGAGAAGACTGTATCAGAACGCCAGAAGCAACCTTCCATGATAGCAGTCAAGGAGCAGTTGCTATGGAGGGCCATAGTCGAGGCTAGTGCATTTTGAGGCCGTGATAACGGGTAGATCAGCAACTGAAAGGTCTGGGGCAGTAACTCCCACTCTGTCGGGGACGGGCGGTTGGATAGGGACAAGGCATCAGCGATCACATTTTTTAACCCGGGAATGTGTCTGGCTCTGGCTACGATGTAGAGTGAGTCGATGAGATGGAGGAACCTGATCGCCCATTGTAGCAGATTCACCGAGCCTGTCGAGCCTAGATGATTTATATACCAAACCACTGTCGAATTGTCTGATTGGATCAACAGACTGGTTGATTGAAGCTCTGTTGCCCAATGTGAGATGGCTTGAATTACCGCCTTGAATTCCAACTCGTGTATATGAAGTACCTCTTCGTCGGATGACCACAGCCCAGCCACTTGGTGGTCGAGCTCCCCAACCCATGAGGGATGCTTCGACGAATAGGTGATGAGTCGGTGCAAAGGGCATCATAGGCCGTGGACAATGAGAGGTAGAACGATTATATCTGGGATCAGAGAATCCGTTCTTAATTCTTTTCAGGCTCTTGAAACCATCATTTAGTGTACTGGATAATTTCAGAATACAAGGTCGAGGTGGTAGGGTAATGGTAGACCAATCCCGGTTCCTAAGAGTATAAGAGTGATCCAGGTCATCTGCTGAAGTACTCAAGGGAAGTTGGAGCTTCTCAACAATCCAAAGGAGTACCTGAGGTGTCTCAACTGCTGCAAAGCTACCCCTAGGGGTAGATAACTCAGAGTGAGCGGGAGATGCAGGCATGGCTATTTAGACTGGATCAATCTCAGGAGGTGGACCAGATGAAGAGCCAGGAGCTACCGAAGCCGGGTGGGCTGGAGCAGAAGGTTGTATTTGGTTCCAGGCTGAGGTTATGGCCCTGAACATCATATTTAGATCCGGAGTCGCTGTAGGAGTGGGATTGTTATCAGGTTCCCATGACTCAGCGATGATCCTAGAGTGAGTCGAAGGATTCTCAGAGCGTGTAGACGGAACATCGTAAGAGACGGTATCAGTGCAATGATCACCCAAACGTCGGTAAGAGGAACTGTATCGAGATCTCGACGTGGTAAGTACCGAAGTAGGTTGGTTAGCCGGTGATCTGGATTCCCTAGTATGGCTAGGTGATCCGGTATGATATGAAGAACTAGTCCGGGTCGCTGTAGTTCTAGTTGGTGATCTGGTTCTGATTGGAGCTCAGCTTCGACCATCTGAATAGGATCGGGCCATGAGATGTGGATCTGTACTATGATCCCGATTGGTCAATGGCTCTGTAAGGTGATCTAGATCGTATAGGTGACCTGGGTTGGTAAGATGATCTGGATTTGTAAAATGATCTGGATCGATTCGATGCACTAACTGGAAACTGTGATCGTGATCTGGATCGAACAGGTGATCTGGTTTGCAGTTGCGATCTGGCTTGATTTGGTGATCTGGATCGGTTAGGTGATCTACTTTGATGTTGTGATCTGGATCGGTTCGGTGATCTGGATCGGTCTGGCGATCTACTTTTCGATGTTGTGATCTGGATCGGTTAGGTGACCTAGATCGGTCTGGTGATCTGATTCGAAGTTGTGATCTGGATCCATTCGGTGATCTGGATCGGTCTGATGATCTACTTCGATGTTGTGATCTGGATTGGCTAGGTGATCTGGATCGGTCCGGTGATCTGATTCGAAGTTGTGATCTGGACCTGTTTGGTGATCTGGAACAGTTAGGTGATCTGGATTGATCAGGTGATCTGTATCGTGACTGTGATCTGGATCTATCCGGTGATCTTGATCGGCACGGTGATCTAGATCGGGTTTGTGACGGTGATCTGGATCGTGAAGGTGATCTAGAATGATGTGGCGATCTGGATCGGCGATTAGGTGACGAAACCTGAAGTGTTGATTAATGATGAACGTCCCCTGGCGACGCTGTTGTAGCCAGCTCCGTCCGGTACAATGAACTGTGGGGAGACAGTGAGCTGGTTTAACGCAGTTGGCCAGGCTCCAAACAAACTGAGACAGTCGAGGGGATATGTACCGATGATCTGGATGATGACAGTGTCGATCTAAGGTCCCCTGGTAGTGTAGATGAGACAGGCAACAATGAATTATCGATCAGAATCACCCGCGAGTGATCTGACGCTATGGAAGGAGGTGATTGATGCGTATGTAATAGGTGCCAATCGTCCTCAGATAAGTAAGATTCTGATGAAGCGTCCATAAAATCCTCTTGAACCACAGACGTCGCTCTCTTTGCGTGAATGTACGATATTCTGTCGCTGTAACTTGATACGCTTGGCGGGAGTGGGATCAGATTCTGTTGATTCCCTGTCCCTATCTGCGATTCTCCAGGAGCAAACACGAAGGTAGGCCTTAAAATCCTCATCTTTGAGTGAATTACACTTGCCACATCTTTTGTTCCAGTTTGTCCAATACAGTCACTGCAAGACGAGTGAGGGTCCAGGGACAAATAATTCGTCTTGCATTGAGCACAAACTTTCCTTTTCCTTGACTGATTATCTGTTTCCCCATGATGTTAGGGTGAAATAATGTCCCTAATATACAGCACGTCCACACAGTTGTGCGACAAGAAAGAGAATGATCATTCAAGGTAATCACGTGGAGGCCTATGGAAAAAAGTTTACAGTCGTTCCACTAAAAGTCGAAGCAAGAGAGAGAGGTGCAAGTCATGAGATAGGATAAGTTTAAAAAATTTGTTCTATTTTCACGCTTCACACTGAGGGGTGACAAAGGGCTGGTTGAACACAAACGTCAGGTTTCAGGACCATGTGTCTTATGTTTTGTGCACTTATCCCTATTTGGAGATATTTAATCATTCACCGTTCTCATTTGAACCCAAACGGACTGTAGATGTTTACCACATCAATGAAAGCCACAAGTCTGGTGCAGACAAACCCAGACTGATGATTACAGTGACTCCAGTAACCAATCATGGGCTTCAGGCACACCCGTGGGATGCAAACACAGCAGCACCGAAAACATGTATTCCTCTTATGTCACTTCAATTAAGGTACTCATATATGAGAAATGTGATAAAAGTATCACTTATTTTACACCATGACATGACGTTTTTCCACGAGTACCAATACCTCTGAATGCATCCATCTGCCTCCTGATGCCATTGTTGAAGCAGAAGTCGGTGACAAGCTCGATGTACTCCTCGATGTTATCCAGTGAGACATCCTGCAGGAAGAATGCAAGTTTAGACTTCAATACTCAATATATGATGCACCTATAAGATCCTGAATTCTGAATGTCAACTGTTTCTTCTCAAACTATTGCTGTGAAGTCGAGAACTTCATAACATACTAACTCACCTCATTTTCTCCATTGTGCTTGAGATCATACGCAGTGTAGCCATAGACCTTAGAGGATGGGTTGAACTGGAAGGTCAAGCTGCAACAGACATGAAAATATACTTGTTCACTGACAGTTCGATAAAAGGGATCCACCTACCCTACATCCATCTACTGGAGTGATCCACCTACCCTACATCCATCTACTGGAGTGATCCACCTACCCTACATCCACCTACTGCAGTGATCCACCTACCCTACATCGATCTACTGGAGTGATCCTACATCCATCTACTGGAGTGATCCACCAAACATACATCCATCTACTGGAGTGATCCACCAACACTACATCCATCTACTGGAGTGATCCACCTACCCTACATCCACCTACTGGAGTGATCCACCTACCTACATCCATCTACTGGAGTGATCCACCTACCCTACATCCATCTACTGGAGTGATCCACCTACCCTACATCCATCTACTGGAGTGATCCACCTACCCTACATCCATCTACTGGAGTGATCCACCAACACTACATCCATCTACTGGAGTGATCCACCTACCTACCCTACACCTACATCCACCTACTGGAGTGATCCAGCTACTCTACTACATCCACCTACTGGAGGATCCACCTACTGGAGGTGATAACCTACCTAACTACATCCACCTACTGGAGTGATCCATACATACATCTACCTACATCCATCTACTGGAGTGATCTACCATCTACTCCTACATCCATCTACTGGAGTGATCTCCATCTGGAGTGACCCTACATCCATCTACTGGAGTGATCCACCAACACTACATCCCATCTACTGGGTGAACCACTCTACCCTACATCCACCAAATGGAGTGATCCACCTACCCTACATCCACCTACTGGAGTGATCCACCTACCCTACATCCACCTACTGGAGGTCCATCCATCTGTCCTACATCCATCTACTGGAGTGATCCACCAACACTACATCCATCTACTGGAGTGATCCACCACTGGAGGATCCTACATCCACCTACTGGAGTGATCCACCACATCCATCTACTGGAGTGATCCACCTACATCTACATCCATCTACTGGAGGATCCACCTACCCTACATCCACCTACTGGAGTGATCCAGTGCTACATCCTACACCCTCCACCAAATGGAGTGGATCCATCCATCCTACTGGAGTGATCCACCCACCCTACATCCATCTACTGGAGTGATCCACCTGCCCTCTACATCCATCTACTGGAGTGATCCACAACACTCCTACATCCACCTACTGGAGTGATCCACCTACTCTACATCCACCTACATCCATCTCCACCTCATGGTGATCCACCCACTGGGAGGATCCACCTACACTACTGGAGTGATCCACCTACATCCCTACATCCACCATCTACATCTACTGGAGTGATCCACCTACCCTACATCCACCTACTGTGATCCACCTACCCTACATCCATCTACATCCACCACTACATTCATCTACTGGAGTGATCCACCTACATTTACCTACTGCAGTGATCCACCCTACATCCATCTCCAGTGATCCACCCACCTCCTACATCCACTGGAGTGATCCACCCTGTCCTACATCCATCTACTGGAGTGATCCACCCACTCTACATCCACCTACTGGAGTGATCCACCAACACTACATCCATCTACTGGAGTGAACCACCTACCCTACATCCACCAAATGGAGTGATCCACCTACCCTACATCCACCTACTTGAGCGATCCACCTACCCTACATCCACCTACTGGAGTGATCCACCTGCCCTACATCCATCTACTGGAGTGATCCACCAACACTACATTCATCTACTGGAGTGATCCACCTACCCTACATCCACCTACTGCAGTGATCCACCTACTCTACATCCATCTACTTGAGTGATCCACCTACCCTACATCCACCTCCTTGAGTGATCCACCTACCCTACATCCACCTACTGGAGTCACCCATCTGCCCTACATCCATCTACTGGAGTGACCCATCTGCCCTACATTCATCTACTGGAGTGACCCATCTGCCCTACATCCATCTACTGGAGTGATCCACCAACACTACATCCATCTACTGGAGTGATCCACCACCACTTCATCCACCAAATGGAGTGATCCACCTACCCTACATCCACCTACTGGAGCGATCCACCTACCCTACATCCACCTACTGGAGCGATCCACCTGCCCTACATCCATCTACTGGAGTGATCCACCAACACTACATTCATCTACTGGAGTGATCCACCTACCCTACATTTACCTACTGCAGTGATCCACCTACCCTACATCCACCTATTCCAGTGATCCACCTACCCTACATCCACCTACTGCAGTGATCCACCTACCCTACATCCATCTACTGGAGTGATCCACCTACCCTACATCCACCTACTGGAGTGATCCACCTACTCTACATCCATCTACTGGAGTGATCCACCAACACTACATCCACCTACTGGAGTGATCCACCTACCCTACATCCACCTACTGGAGTGATCCACATACCCTACATCCACCTACTGGAGTGATCTACCTACCCTACATCCATCTACTGGAGTGATCCACCTACCTACATCCATCTACTGGAGTGATCCACCTACCGTACATCCACCTACTGGAGTGACCGGCCTACCCTACATCCATCTACTGGAGTGATCCACCTACCCTACATTCACCTACTGGAGTGACCAACCTACCCTACATCCACCTACTCCAGTGACCCATCTACTCCAGTGATCCACCTATTCCAGTGATCCACCTACCCTAGATCTTCTAGTCTGACTGCCATGGAAGGGTCAGCTGGGTTAGGCAAGGCAAGTTCCTCCAGAAGGATGTTCTTCTGGTCCTCTGACAGCGACTTGTCCTTCAGGATCCTTTGCTTCTTTGCTGACAGGTCACGCAGCTGCCTCAGGAAGGATGCCCTGTGTGGGTTGACAATCTCAAAGTCCTCCTCTGTCAGGATGCCAGCAAACCAGGGTGTGAGGAGATTGTGGCGAGACTTGGGTTGTTCCATCTTCATCTCCTTCTCTATCTCCTCGATGCTGGTGATCATGTCGCTGCTCTCGCTGTGCCACGACTCCAGCATGTTGCCGTAGCCCTTCTGGGAGAGGTCGTGATACTGCTGGGCAATGTTGTGCCCCACCTCGCCCATACACATTAGCTTCAGGAAGGGGGCGGGACAGGGGCAGGTCAATCAGCCGGTTGTCCTGCAGACACTTGGCTAGGAGGGTACCCAGGAAAAAGAAGATTCTTTCCACTCGATCCATGTCTGCACTGTCTTGAGGCAGTGCAGCAGGGAACAGTCCCCCAATTCTCTGTACATAATAGCCTGGCGGGCGTACACCATGACCAATATCAACCTGAAAGGAAAAGAAATATCTAGAGACATTACAACATGAAACTTAACCCAGCAATGTCAAAAGTAAGCAGTTTTTTAATCATTAGACCTTGGTTCCCGCTTCTTTATTCTGGAGATTATATCTGTCTAAACAAATGTAAAATAACATGCATGTGATTAGTACTTTTCACACTTCAGCAGTAAATCATCAAAACATCTTCCAACCTTATCACACACAGAATGTTATCCATCCGATGAATCAGTCAACTGATCATCTTTCCTCAGTTCTTATGTGAGAATTATCATTGTTCAAATGTGAACTGACAGTAAAATGTTGCTGCACATCTCAACACAACATGCAGATGATGATCCAGATGAGTCTTACCTCTCGTTCTGAAGTATCGACAATATCATCATCACTCAACCACAGGCCCAGGGACTTCCTCTGCATCTCCGCGGCAACCAGAGCATAGAACTCAAGTGTCGGTCCTAGACCAGTTCCTTCTTCACCCTCAAACTCAATCTGAAACAGTCAGTGTTATGCACAAATATGCCTTACAGTAATGGTGGACAAATCTTAACAGATCATCAGCGGAAACAGCCGAGAGTCAAAGCACCTTAGGTAAGTAATCTCCTGGACACCTGGAGTTGTTTCTACAACTGAGGACAAGATTTGATGTACGATGACCATTCAGATCCTTACTCAGTTGATGAATGCCATCAAGTGCTTATTTTCTTACCTCAAGCACAGCCTTCCTCTTGCCGTGGTGCTTCATGACCTGCATAGCCCACTCCAGGAGCTGCTCCCCACGTGGAACCTTGATCCTCTCGTGCTTCAGCCTCCCCACACGGAACTCATGGCCGTCATCTCTGCGAGGCAGCGGGCCACGGTTCCGCTCTATACTGGCATCACGTTTGTTCTGCAGCCACACGATTGCTCTACAACAAATTCACATCAAGAATGTGAGTCAGTTTTGTTCTGGCTTTATGTATGTGAACAAGCATTGTCAATAAGGTGACATAATCCCCCGTCGCAAATATTATCAAATCAAACTTAAAAAGTAATGAAAGTTTAAGATGAAGTTAAATGTCAACAAAAACATGACCAGTCAACCTATCTTGATATCTTGCTCTTTAGTTGTTCAAACACACAAATATTTTCAAGAATGACTTTGACCTTGACATGAATGTCATAGTGTATGAAATATGCAAAAATGGTACTAAAGCTATTGCTTATTGAAAAACATTCAAGAGAAGTCTTGAAAGTCTATGAAGAAAATCCAGTGAATTCAGGTTAACATGTTGAAATCTTCAAAGTGTCGCAGTGACCTTGAAAATTATGTGAAGGTCACCAAAATTGACTGGGCCCTGAGCCTTCATTAGATGATGCTTGGTGTCAAATATGACCAAAATCCAGAGAATGGCTTCTGCGATATCTTGCTGACTTACTTAACATGCAATTTAACACTGAAATCTTCAAAGTGTCTTTGTGACCTTGAAAATTAAGTGAAGGTCACCAAAATCGACTGGGCCTTGCACTTTCCCTATATGAAGCTTGGCGTTATATATGAAGAAAGTCCAGTGAATGGTTCTTGAGATATCTCGCTGACCATCTTAACATGCAGGTTAACATACTGAAATCTTCAAAGTGACACTGTGACCTTGAAAATTAAGCGAAGGTCACCAAAATCGACTGGGCCCTGCGCCTTTCCTGGATGAAGCTTGGCGTCATATATGAAGAAACTCCAGTGAATGGTTCTTGAGGTATTTCCCTGACAAGCATAACATGCCAGTTAATATGCTGAAATCTTCAAAGTGTCGCCATGACCTTGAAAATTATGTGAAGGTCACCAAAATCGACTGGGTCCTGCGCCTTCCCTAGATAGAGCTTGGTGTTGAATATGAATAAAATCTAGTCAATGGTTGAAATTCTTCAAAGTGAACAGTTCTTGAGATATCTCACTGACAAGAGTAAAACGTTAAAGTCCCCTCGTGACCTTGGAATGAAGGTCAAGGTCACCAAAACCTGACTAAGACCTTTCTTATACTGTGATGAACCTAGGTACCAAGTATGAAAGAATCTAGTCAAAGGTTCTTAAGATATTCCAATTCGTACGTACGGCCGTCCGGAGCCTAATACTAAACGTGCGCCGGGGGATAATAATTACATGTGGACCAGTGACTCAAAACAAAAAGAATCCACGAGTCCCAATACCTCTGAATGGATCCAAAGATTCATGGGGCATGAAAACAGCCAAAGTCCACAGCCTGTCCCTTTCTGGGGAACACCAGAAATAAGGGTCACACACAGAAATCATGTGTGGAATCTAACCCAGCTCTTCCACAAGACAAGGTAAAGCTTGAAGCACTAGGCTACCCCATCAGTCTTACACTCTCATGACATCAGTGCGGAGGAACCATGTGTTGAATCTAACCCAGCTCTTCCACATGACAAGGTAAAGCTTGAAGCACTAGGCTACCCCATCAGTCTTACACTCTCATGACATCAGTGCGGAGGAACCATGTGTTGAATCTAACCCAGCTCTTCCACATGACAAGGTAAAGCTTGAAGCACTAGGCTACCCCATCAGTCTTACACTCTCATGACATCACTGTGGAGGAACCATGTGTGGAATCTAACCCAGCTCTTCCACATGACAAGGATATCATCAACTTGCAGAATGAATTATCAGTGCTAGATATAACTTAGTGAGTTCTCATACATATATCAATCTTGAAACATTTAATCTGCAGATATAATTAAGCTACCTAGAGGTGCCAAATGCTGTACAGGTGAAGTAGAGCTGCCTCGTCTCGAAGGGGAACAGCATGGGGCACCATCGTGTGAGATGCTCACACCACTCTGGCAAGGCGTGACTGGCTAGCACCAGGGGATCCTGAACAGAGACAGTTGAAGTTTTATAGCAGAAGGTCACACAGCTAGTTTACTTGTACTTCAAGGTAAATTTATCAAGCAGGAAACTCTTGTTGAATAAGCAAGCTATCTAATTAATCTAGAATATCTAGTCAATCATTCTACATGACTTTGGTAACATGAAGGATACACCCACTCACCTGAATTTGTTGCACAACCTTGTTAGTGATCTTCTTGCTGATAAACTCATCAGCTGGAATGTTTAACTGAACCTCGCTGTTGTCTGTGAGAAGAAAATCAACCATCACTATATACACCATTCTGTTCCCAACATTTACTGTTTCACTACCATATTAGATGTTAACTTTTCTTCTTAGACCACAACATCCCAACTCTTACTGGGCATGGCCTGCTCCATGGTTGTACAATCGATGTGAACTTACCATACCTCTCACTGGGCGTGGCCTGCTCTATGGTTGTACAATTGATGTGAACTTACCATTCCTCTTACTGGGCATGGCCTGCTCTATGGTTGTACAATTGATGTGAACTTACCATTCCTCTTACTGAGCGTGGCCTGCTCTATGGTTGTACAATTGATGTGAACTTACCATTCCTCTTACTGGGCATGGCCTGCTCTATGGTTGTACAACCGATGTGAACTTACCATTCCTCTTACTGGGTGTGGCCTGCTCTATGGTTGTACAATTGATGTGAACTTACCACTCTCTTACTGGGTGTGGCCTGCTCTATGGTTGTACAATTGATGTGAACTTACCATTCCTCTTACTGGGTGTGGCCTGCTCTATGGTTGTACAATTGATGTGAACTTACCATTCCTCTTACTGGGTGTGGCCTGCTCCATGGTTGTACAATTGATGTGAACTTACCATTCCTCTTACTGGGTGTGGCCTGCTCCATGGTGATGGCAAACAGTCGCTGTAGCAGGTTAAGGACATGGTCGACGGTGCAGCTGGTGATGTCACCGGCGCGAGGCAGATCCCAGTCAAGCAGACTCTGCCGCAGCACCCCAAACTTGTCAACTGGGGAGGACGTCTGAAACAAGGAGATGGGCTAGCTTGCATTTTCAGTTGTTGATAAAACTGGACAGAAAAAGGAAATAGGAACAATATTTGCTGCAAAAGGGTCCCACAGTGACGGCCCAACCATCTGCTTGGGTGATGAAGGAGAGAAAGGGGAGGCTACCTGTGGGGGAGTGATATTATGATCGCTTCAGAGAATTTGAAGGGATTCAAGTTTCCACTTAACCGTCGAAAGGAGAAGGGAGATAAGCAATAAGCTTGAGTCAGGATAAGGAAAAATTACAATTACAATTTGGAGGGTTGTTTACAACAATAACTAGGTGCTGGTTGTGATAATGATTATATCTTTTGACACAAAAACGGCTCTAGATGCAAATAGTGAAGAAAACATGTCAGAAATAAAGTAGAAGTTATCAGCATTCTGTGACTGAAATATTGTTTGTGTTAATTCAGACTGTTAGGATTTCGTAATAAAAAGGGCATGGCTACATCAGGAAGACTTACCTTGCTTCCCTTGTCAGAGTCTTTCTCCTCATCCTCCTTCAGCTCCTTGTAGATGATCCTGGACAAACAAAGCATCGGAATGTCAGAAGGGTTGTGAAATCAGTACACATTTAGTTACAATAGTGTCCATCCCTACAAAAACATCACACTGTGCAGAGACGTATGTTGTGTCCAACATGTTTAAATGTATGTTGTTACATTTAGCACTTGGCAATCATCCATATGACAGCTGGATATAACATCCACAGATGTCATGTACAACAGCCAGTGATGTCTAGACATACTGACACATCATCAACCAAACACATTCTAGGATAAGTTGCCATTTACAACAAGGACCTGTTCCTGGAGACCTATTCTGTCACTGTAAGAACTGACAGACTAGAAATGTTTGTGTGCACCCTGCAGAGAAGAAATGTTTGTGTGCACCCTGCAGAGTAGAGATGTTTCTGAGCACCCTAAAGAGTAGACATGTTTGTGTGCACCCTGCAGAGAGAGTAGACATGTTTGTGTGCACCCTGCAGAGTAGACATGTTTGTGTGCACCCTGCAGAGAGAGTAGAGATGTTTGTGTGCACCCTGCAGAGTAGAGATGTTTGTGTGCACCCTGCAGAGTAGAGATGTTTGTGAGCACCCTGCTGAGTAGAGATGTTTGTGTGCAAGAGTAGACATGTTTGTGTGCACCCTGCAGAGTAGACATGTTTGTGTGCACCCTGCAGAGTAGAGATGTTTGTGTGCACCCTGCAGAGTAGAGATGTTTGTGTGCACCCTGCAGAGTAGACATGTTTGTGTGCACCCTGCAGAGTAGAGATGTTTGTGTGCACCCTGCAGAGTAGAGATGTTTGTGTGCACCCTGCAGAGTAGAGATGTTTGTGTGCAGTAGTAGACATGTTTGTGTGCACCCTGCAGAGTAGACATGTTTGTGTGCACCCTACAGAGTAGACATGTTTGTGTGCACCCTGCAGAGAGAGTAGACATGTTTGTGTGCACCCTACAGAGTAGACATGTTTGTGTGCACCCTGCAGAGAGAGTAGAGATGTTTGTGTGCACCCTGCAGAGTAGAGATGTTTGTGTGCACCCTGCAGAGTAGAGATGTTTGTGAGCACCCTGCTGAGTAGAGATGTTTGTGTGCACCCTGCTGAGTAGACATGTTTGAGTGCACCCTGCTGAGTAGACATGTTTGTGTGCACCCTGCAGAGTAGACATGTTTGTGTGCACCCTGCAGAGTAGAGATGTTTGTGTGCACCCTGCAGAGTAGAGATGTTTGTGTGCACCCTGCAGAGTAGACATGTTTGTGTGCACCCTGCAGAGTAGACATGTTTGTGTGCACCCTGCAGAGTAGAGATGTTTGTGTGCACCCTGCAGAGTAGAGATGTCTGTGTGCACCCTGAAGAGTAGAGATGTTTGTGTGCATCCTGCAGAGTAGAGATGTCTGTGTGCACCCTGCAGAGTAGAGATGTCTGTGTGCACCCTGAAGAGTAGAGATGTTTGTGTGCATCCTGCAGAGTAGAGATGTCTGTGTGCACCCTGCAGAGTAGAGATGTCTGTGTGCACCCTGCAGAGTAGAGATGTTTGTGTGCACCCTGCAGAGTAGAGATGTTTGTGTTCTCTGTCGAGATGATTGTACATGCATCTCCTATCATGCAGTTCTGACACTTACGTGTATGTGGGTTCCCAGATCCTCTTCAGCCGCTCGTTGCGTCCGGCATGAGAGCCTAGTGTCAGGAGGTGTTGTACGTATTTGAAGACACAAGACCCAGCATCAGCCAACAAGAACTCTTCGTCGTTCATCTGGAAAATCAACATCAGTGTTACTACATTCATCTAGGAAACCCAACAGCAGATGAATCTAAATTCAATTACAATAGATTCATCTTGGGAAATGTTTAAGATACATAAGTTTCATGAGAACAACATGAGTGTTTGCCAGGTGGCAGGTCCTACAGATTTAGTGCTGTGATTGATCTCCTGTATCCACACTTACCCCTGGTAGACAGGGAGCTCGGAGAGCCAGCACAAGTCGGGGCTGAGCCACCATCTCCCTCTGTTCCCCTGCTCCATTATCTACAGCACCTGCAGACACAACATCATCATGAGACGCACCTGGACATGTCATTGTCATACAGTACTCCTCACCACTATCACACATACCCCACATTATCTACAGCACCTGCAAACACAACATCATCATGAGACGCACCTGGACATGTCATTGTCATACAGTACTCCTCACCACTATCACACATACCCCACATTATCTACAGCACATGCAGACACAACATCATCATGAGACGCACCTGGACATGTCATTGTCATACAGTACTCCTCACCACTATCACATATACCCCACATTATCTACAGCACATGCAGACACAACATCATCATGAGACGCACCTGGACATGCCATTATCTACAGCACCTGCAGACACAACATCATCATGAGATGCAGCTGGACACCCCATTGTCTACAGCAACTGCAGACACAACATCATCATGAGACGCACCTGGACATGCCATTATCTACAGCACCTGCAGACACAACATCATCATGAGATGCAGCTGGACATGCCATTGTCATACAGTACTCCTCACCACTATCACATATACCCCACATTATCTACAGCACCTGAAGACACAAGTCACAAGCTGATATTTGACTATGGGCATGCACCCAACAACACGTGGAAACATAAAGCAACTCACCAGGAGCAGGGATCTCAAAGTCCTGAGTTTGGTTGACGTTTGTCCGCCCTGGGCGGGGATCAAAAGCAGGAATCAGAGCGGAGAATTGACGCTTGAGAACAAACTCATCGTCCCAAGTCCGTCTATCACGGGTGTCCAGCTCATCTTCCTCCTGCATAAACATGTCACATGTAACTTACATCTTACATTTGTAACACAGACCAACTGACTGACACCTTACACCTGTAACCCACTGACACACACCTTACACCTGTAACCCACTGACAGACACCTTACACCTGTAACCCACTGACAAACACCTTACACCTGTAACCCATTGACACACACCTTACACCTGTAACCCGCTGACACACACCTTACACCTCTAACCCAATGACACACACCTTACACCTGTAACCCACACCTCACACCTGTACTGACTGACTGACTGACTGACTGACTGACTGACTGAGTTTAGTTTTACGCTGCTTTTAGCAATATTCCAGCAATATCACGGCGGGGGACACCAGAAATGGGCCTAACACATTGTGCCCATGTGGGGAATCGAACCCGGGTCTTTGGCGTGACAAGCCAACGCTTTAACCACTAGGCTACCCATCCGCCCCCCTCACACCTGTAACCCACTGACACACACCTGTAACCAACTGACACACACCTCACACCTGTAACCCACTGACACACCTTACACCCTGTAACCTAGTGACACACACCTTACACCTGTAACCCACTGACAGACACCTTACACCTGTAACCTAGTGACACACACCTCACACCTGTAACCCACTGACACACACCTTACACCTGTAACCCACTGACACACACCTGTAACTCACTGACACACACCTCACACCTGTAACCCAATGACACACACCTTACACCTGTAACCTAGTGACACACACCTTACACCTGCAACCCATTGAGAGACAACTTACACCTGTAATCTAGTGACACACACCTTACACCTGTAACCCACTGACACACACTGTAAACCTCTAACCATCTTACACACACCTTACACATGTGTAACACAGACCAACTGACTGACACCTTACACCTGTAACCCACTGAGAGAAAACGTACACCTCTAGCCCACTGACACACACTTTACACCTCTAACCCACTGACAGACACCTTACACCTCTAACCCACTGACAAACACCTTACACCTGTAACCCATTGACACACACCTTACACCTCTAACCCGCTGACACACACCTTACACCTCTAACCCAATGACACACACCTTACACCTGTAACCCACACCTCACACCTGTACTGACTGACTGACTGAGTTTAGTTTTACGCTGCTTTTAGCAATATTCCAGCAATATCACGGCGGGGGACACCAGAAATGGGCCTAACACATTGTGCCCATGTGGGGAATCGAACCCGGGTCTTTGGCGTGACAAGCCAACGCTTTAACCACTAGGCTACCCATCCGCCCCCCTCACACCTGTAACCCACTGACACACACCTGTAACCAACTGACACACACCTCACACCTGTAACCCACTGACACACCTTACACCCTGTAACCTAGTGACACACACCTTACACCTGTAACCCACTGACAGACACCTTACACCTGTAACCTAGTGACACACACCTCACATCTGTAACCCACTGACACACACCTTACACCTGTAACCCACTGACACACACCTGTAACTCACTGACACACACCTCACACCTGTAACCCAATGACACACCTTACACCTGTAACCTAGTGACACACACCTTACACCTGCAACCCATTGAGAGACAACTTACACCTGTAATCTAGTGACACACACCTTACACCTGTAACCCACTGACACACACTGTAAACCTCTAACCATCTTACACACACCTTACACATGTGTAACACAGACCAACTGACTGACACCTTACACCTGTAACCCACTGAGAGAAAACGTACACCTCTAGCCCACTGACACACACTTTACACCTCTAACCCACTGACAGACACCTTACACATGTAACCCACTGACAGACACCTTACACCTGTAACCCACTGACACACACCTTACACCCTGTAACCTAGTGACACACACCTTACACCTCTAACCCACTGACACACACCTTACACCTCTAACCCACTGACAGACACCTCACACCTGTAACCCACTGACACACACCTTACATCTGTTACCCACTGACACACACCTTACACCTGTAACCCACTGACACACACCTTACACCTGTAACCCACTGACAGACACCTCACACCTGTAACCCACTGACAGACACCTTACACCTGTAACCTAGTGACACACACTTTACACCTGTAACCCACTGACACACACTTTACAGCTGTAACCCACACCTTACACCTGTAACCTAGTGACACACACCTGTAACCCACTGACACACACCTTACACCTGTAACCCACTGACAGACAACTCACACCTGTAACCCACTGACACACACCTTACACCTGTAACCTAGTGACACACACTTTATACCTGTAACCCACTGACACACACCTTACACCTGTAACCCACTGACAGACACCTTACACATGTAACCCACTGACACACACCTAACACCTCTAACCCACTGACACACACCTTACACCTGTAACCCACTGACACACACCTTACACCTGTAACCCACTGACACACCTTACACCTCTAACCCACTGACAGACACCTTACACCTGTAACCCACTGACACACACCTTACACCTCTAACCCACTGACAGACACCATACACCTGTAACCTAGTGACACACACCTTACACCTCTAACCCACTGACAGACACCTTACACCTGTAACCTACTGACAGACACCTTACACCTGTAACCTACTGACACACAACTTCCACTACTATAAACAAGTATGAAATTCAAGCAACCTTATAAAGGACAGCTAGAATGGTTCAATGGACATACCAAAACATCATCATAGTCCTCGTCATCTTCATTTTCATCCTCATTCTCATCATCATCATCATCCGGTTCCGGCAGCTCCTCGTCATCCTCTAGTTCAGCCAGGAGTGTCGTTGCCCGGCAGCTGTCCAGGAACTCATTATCACTCTCACTGGAGGTGGACGTGAGGCTGCGAGTGAGGGCCTGGCTGAGTGACGTCACATTGGCCATAGTCTGTGTGGTGGTCAGTGTGTTGGACGTCTGACCCGCAGAGGAAGTAAGGCTGGGGTAGCTTTGGGCAGCACTGAGGAGATTGCCTAGGTCAACAGCAGAGTGATAGGACAGATACATTCTCCAGATCAAACAGCGTACAACAGCAGATGGTAGGCAAGTGACAGCTATATTTACACTGTTGTAGCAGCACTGCCTCAGGGTTTGGGCTGGACACACAGATGTGGGTATCCAACAAGCTATGAGCTGTAGCCTATATTTCCATGTAAATAGATTAGATTTGGTCTTAGCTAAACAAATCGCATTTAAGTATAACATTCCTTCATAGTGATAATTTTTCATTTTGTGGAGCATGTTCCACCTACACAACAACAGAGCTTCACTTACTGGGAGAATTGGACAGTGCCAGTCGGACCAGACTGCTGGCATTGGCATTGCGGACGATGTTGCTGCCACTTCCTCCAGAGAGATTGCGGCGTGCCGCAGCAGCAAACGTGTCAAGGAGGCTAGCTGTCTGCTCCATGCTGGTGGGTAGGTTGGGAACGCTGACGCTCATCAGGTTTGTAGGGGAGCTGCGTGTCTGGGAATCTGCCTTCTTGGCTGCCTCATTCTTTGCCTGCTTCTCTCGGTTGGCATTGGAAAGGTGGTGGACCTCCTTCACTCCCCCCACGGCTCCCCGCACTGGCTCCTGGGCCACCTCCATCTCACATGCTGTGTCCATCAACCCACACTCACTGTTGCCTGACGTGTCTTCGCTACCCCTATGCACCACCACCACCGGATCATTTGTCAGAGTTCTATCAGAAGATTCATCAGCCTGGTCGACTGTCACCATGACAATAGCATCCGAGCTGGCTCGATTTACCATACTCTCTGCAACATTCTCAGCAGCCTGCAATAAAAACATTTCATGAAGACAAAGGACACAATTTGGCCCGGTAGCCTGAGTCGGTTTGCCTTATAATGAAATTTTCTGACTAAAATTCATATTTTATACTTATCCTGACTCATGCTTTTTGCTTATGATAGTGGAACACTTGAATCCTTTTTTGAAGCTCCCTTCAAAAAAGCAGATGTAAAATCACTCACCTAAGGTTGCCTCCCTTTACTGTTTAGGCGCCAAAATCAGTCACATGATCAGCCATGCTTGCCACTCTCTCCATTTATGAGCTCGACACCCGGATTTATAGGAAAATCCAGAGTGCCATGAGGGGAGATTGGGAAGGCTGACCTCATGAGTCAGGATAAGTATAAAATATCAATTTTAGTGAGAAAATTACATATTTTTCCTTATCCTGACTCATGCTTTTTGCCTGTAGAATCCGACAGAACCTGTGGTGGGTCAGGCCACTTCTGGATTCATAGGTTGCTGATTTATGTCCGGCTGGGGGTGGAACACTCCAATCGTTCCGAACCCGTCCATCAGCGTCTAAATCCTCTGGCACCTCTGGGTGCTCGGCCTCTTCTGGGGTTATGACCTCTTCCGGGATTACGGTTGGGCGACGAAAAGAGTCTCTGCCTCCTTTGGAGTTGCCAAACTTCTTTTCCCTGGCTCTCGGTATCCCCGCAAATTTCGACTTGCCAGAGTAGCGTTGTGACGTCTGACGAATAACACTGGCTAGTGTGTGATGGACTTGATCATCATCACCTCCCTTGACTCTTTTGTAACTTCTTTGGCTACGTCATCACTTTCCCCTGCGAAGATGGGCGATGCTGACCACTGCTCACTCCAGTTGCAGGGATTCAAGTGCCTTTTCCAGCTATCATGAGGTGCAAGAAGAAGGAAACAAGCAAAAAAGCATGAGTCAGGATAAGGAACAATTTAAAGTATCGACAAGACTGAAGAATCTGAACAGGGTCCACATACAAAATCAATATTGGCTGGTAAATGTTTCAGGCCAAGTTGCAGCCCACAAACATTTCCTATCTTCATTGCTCACACTATCATCCATCACTGACAACAGAGAGCAATACTAGGAAACAACCAATTAGTATCTACCAACTTGTTTACATACAAATCTAACAATCCCAAATAGGGCAACATGCCAGTTTCTTGTTCACCAGGTTGATAATTATTTGGCTACACAATGAGTTACTGGAACTTACCTCCCTGACAGCCTTCATACTGGAGGTGAGATTCTCCGCAGAAGATGCCTGCTCTGTGCTGGCCACAGACGCCTTAGCTTCGGACACCTCACTCAGACTCGGGGTTGAACTGCTCTTCCTGCTGGTCAACACACTCACCTGGAAATAAGACCAGCGGGGCTTCAGATGATCACTGTCGCAATACTGCAGACTCTCTAGGAATATGAGCAGTGCAGCTATGGGTAATCACTGATGTGCAGCTATGGGTAATCACTGCTGCTGTACAGCTATGGGTAATCACTGCTGCTGTACAGCTATGGGTAATCACTGCTGCTGTACAGCTATGGGTAATCACTGTTGCTGTACAGCTATGGGTAATCACTGCTGCTGTACAGCTATGGGTAATCACTGTTGTACAGCTATGGGTAATCACTGTTGTACAGCTATGGGTAATCACTGCTGCTGTACAGCTATGGGTAATCACTGCTGCTGTACAGCTATGGGTAATCACTGTTGTACAGCTATGGGTAATCACTGCTGCTGTACAGCTATGGGTAATCACTGCTGCTGTACAGCTATGGGTAATCACTGATGTACAGCTATGGGTAATCACTGCTGCTGTACAGCTATGGGTAATCACTGCTGCTGTACAGCTATGGGTAATCACTGCTGTACAGCTATGGGTAATCACTGCTGCTGTACAGCTATGGGTAATCACTGTTGCTGTACAGCTATGGGTAATCACTGTTGCTGTACAGCTATGGGTAATCACTGCTGCTGTACAGCTATGGGTAATCACTGTTGTACAGCTATGGGTAATCACTGTTGCTGTACAGCTATGGGTAATCACTGTTGTACAGCTATGGGTAATCACTGTTGCTGTACAGCTATGGGTAATCACTGTTGTACAGCTATGGGTAATCACTGTTGCTGTACAACTATGGGTAATCACTGTTGCTGTACAGCTATGGGTAATCACTGTTGCTGTACAGCTATGGGTAATCACTGTTGTACAGCTATGGGTAATCACTGTTGTACAGCTATGGGTAATCACTGTTGTACAGCTATGGGTAATCACTGTTGTACAGCTATGGGTAATCACTGCTGCTGTACAGCTATGGGTAATCACTGCTGCTGTACAGCTATGGGTAATCACTGCTGCTGTACAGCTATGGGTAATCACTGTTGTACAGCTATGGGTAATCACTGCTGCTGTACAGCTATGGGTAATCACTGCTGCTGTACAGCTATGGGTAATCACTGCTGCTGTACAGCTCATTCAACTTTACACACAAATTATACAGACTGTAAGGCTGACGGTTATTCTGACCAAAATGGTTATGGACCAAAACTGAATTGAACCCACAATATGTGGGTGCAGCAAACTGGGACTCCTTTGACTAACCCTATCTGCCATGGCACCCCTCTCCTCCTTTTCTTACAATGAACAAAGCTGAATACAGGAAGTATATTCAAAGACTGTCATCACTGTCAATATTTACACATGAATGTTGATGATGTTTTCTATCAGGGACCTATTCCAAGTGCAGTGGATTCAGGGTGGCACATATTTTCCTTATTAGAACTAGATGAAGTCAGGAATAATTCCAGAGAAAATGTAGCCATGAAGTGTTGAACTCACCTTGACCTTGTCAGATACCGATGACCCGACCGTTCTGTTCTTGGCCACACCTGTAGCAGTCTGCTCGGCCTTGGTGAACCGCAGCTTGTCTGGGTCATGTGAAGGAGCAAGGGCAAGGTCAAACTTCCCCTCAGCTCCCATCCTGTATGAGTTGGAGCCACCAGCATCCCATGTAACATCCACCCAGCCTGCAGCAAACAGGTCCTCATATATATGTCCACACTACTTACAGTGACACTTCCTACACAGAATCTATGCCCAAGCAGACATTCTCATGAGATAGTGAGTGACTTGAGTTACCATAGTGTTCAACAGTTGTTGTTGTGTCGATAAATGACATATGGGAGTGGGAGGAATGCCCAAAGTGACACCAGTCACAGGGGGTAACAGATCTGAATGACAATCTTAGATTGAACCCACAATGTCTACGTGCAGTGAACAGGGTTTCCTTCGACAAACCCTATCTGCCGTGGCACCCCTCTTCTCCATGTCTTACAATGAACAATACTATCATGACCGTACACACATTCTTCATTTGTATGACAGTGTTGCAACAGAAGGAATGAGTAGATGAGATTTGGGTCAGACAAACAGTGTAAATTAACCTACTGTCACGCTCCTCACCATTATGTAGCTCCCCTGTGACGAGCCCCTCTCCTGGGGGACTGCCATCCTGGTCCCGCCACTTCCAGTCCATCCCCCGCACCACTCTCGCGCCTGGCATCATCTGCTTCAGCACATGGGTCCGCAGGATGCGCCGTTGACGGCGCAGATTCGCCTCAGCTTCTCGGGCTGCCTTACCTGAAACATGTCAATGGTATTTAAGAACATATAACTGAAACACAATTATCATTCAATGTTCATCTTCAGGATTTGTCCTGGAATGTTTGAAATAGGCTCTATTAGTATTTACATCTAGAGACCCACCTAAACTTCCTTATACATAACTTACTATAAACCAGTTTTCATCTGCAAAAAAAAGAGCAATCTTACCTTATCCTACCATATAGCCACTGCATGCCAGTCTATATTTTTTCTGAAATTTAAGGCTCTTGTTAAAAGTGTGTAGCCACCTACCTATATCATCACAGACACCAGTGACAGTTCCATAGATCTCAAAGCCTGACAGGGACAGGTAATGAGTTTGGCCACTAGCATTCTTCCCAGTTTGATGAAGACGAACGTGTCGCCAGCCCTGCTTCTCATCCTTTGGAGCCTCCACTGGCCATGAGGCTGTTGACCTGCACAGATGGGGAACCAATTCTATAGAAACAAACACTCCCGTTCCTGTGTCAGACAGATACTACTGCAGTTGGTAACCCTGCTTCATGGACAGTGAGAGTTGGTAATCCCTCTTTATAAACAGTGGAAGCCATAACATTTCTTCATGAACAGTGGTTGTGTGAAGCCCATTTCTGGCATCCCCCTGCAGTGATACTGCTGGAATATTGCTGACAGTGGTGTAAAATAATACTCACTCTGTCATGAACAGTGGAAGCTGTAACATCCAACCCATCCCACCTAACCCCTTACATGAACAATGGAGGTTGGTACCCCTCCTTCCTTCTTATAACCCCACTTCTTATGTTAGTAACAGAGGGATGATGATTGAAACAGGGTAAGTGGTCACAAAGGTCTACCATGGTTTTAACCTCATTCTGAAGCTCTGATCCCAGGTTACCAGAAAAATTGGCAACAAAAATTCATATTGACACTCGGGTGTTTTGTGTTACACCTGCAATCATTCCATACAGGATGCTATAGAAACTGGTGTACTGACCCTGGTTCATTGAGTGAGCAGTCGTCGGTGTGGTGGTACAGTGTCTGCCAGGTCATTCCATCCTTTGACATCTGGTAGTTCCAGTTCCGCAGAGCCGATCTGAATAGTTAGATGGTGAGACCACCTCATTACATACTTCCCTTAACATGTCACCTATAACAACACTTGGCAGCAATAATCACTGACACAGATGCTGGACATTCCAGTTGACTACAGACAGTGATCACAAAGCCCTGCCTCCTGTGACCACCGAGACACGCCTCTACACAGTTGTATCACCCTCATACTAACAACAATCTAGACATAATCTGGGCAATTTTTTTCAGTTTATCAATCTCAGCTGAGCAAACATGATTAAAGTAACATTCACGGACTATGATATCAGAGCAAAACTTCAGACATGTTGATGATTTTGCATGAACAGCATATGAAGTAACAATGTTTTTTCACCATAAGTACAACAGATGTGAGTGTACTTACTTTCCATATCCCCTGGCATGACGGAGTGTGTAGCATGTGGGGATGATCCACACACCCAGGTCGATGGCGAACCACGCCTTCCTGCAAGTCAGCAGCAATGTGTAATGAGTTGGTGGATGAAAACTCTCCACAGGGAGCACACAATGGAGTATGTCATGTGTCAGATTAAACTGGAAGGACTTTGGTGAAACCCATGAGTGTGAGTGCTGACTTTGGTGAAACCCATGAGTGCGAGTGCTGACAACCCAGGGATCATAGCTGTTCTTGTGATCACCCTGTTACTTCGATATGGTCACCGATTGATGTATATATGATCACATGGTCCCTTGTACTGATCACTGTCCTGTATATATGGTCAACCAATGAAATATATATGATCCACCAGTACTTTGTAAATGATCACTCTGTTACTTATACATGGTTACTCAAAGCTTATATATGATCACCCAGTACTTTCAACATGATCACCTAGTTGTATATATGATCACCATATACCCCATGTATAACTGATGCCCCTGTACTTGACATATGTTCCCAGGCTTGACTACGGATCTATATTGTTTCGTAGTTACTGGAGATGTTGATGCTTATTTGTGTTTGTTATGCACATGTATTTTTACAAACTGTGTCAAGATAAAATAATTCAAACTTCTTTTCAAGTGTATTAAAATATCAGTTGAGTTTGAAGTAATTTACTTAAGAAATGACAGCAAGGTACTTCCTCTGCTAATACAAGTTCTCATAGTCACTGACTAGAAAACATTGAAAGATTTTCCATTTGATTGCTAGAACCATTTTCCCTGGTGTTGCTGGGCAGCTACGTACTTGTCATCATTGGTGTGGCAGTTGAGGGCAGCGCTGTCCCGAGACAGGATGTCCTCCAGCTTGCCGTATGGCAGATTGCGGCCCTCAGACGATGTGACCACCACCAGGCCATACTGAGCTGGGTTCACCCATTCATAAGCAGTTCTGGAACAAACAAACATTCCATTTGGTCAGTTTATTCAGTAAGCAGACATGGTCTGTCAACAGTTATCAGAGTTGCTACTGAATGTTCCACCATTACAAAGCCTCTGTATCTGATCATAATAAACCAACTCTTGACAGTAGTTGGAGATTAGCCACTCTGTTGGCAGCAAAGTTAAATGCTCAGTTTGAGGTCATCAGTTCTGCATGTCAGGTGTTGAATGTGTGTCTTCAGTAGGAGGCCTACATGAAGGCCTCAGCCCCATATACCAAACCATATACACACAGTAAGTATAGATATCATACATTTTAGGAATACAAAACCACATAAATACAAACAAAGACAATTTTCCTTTTTCATGAACATGTATATAACATCATGGCAAATCTTTTAATAAACCTTTGTTGTTCATACCTAAAACTAACTTAAAGGGTATTTGAGATAGGATAGTTTCCTAAGATTTATATTTTGGGGCAAGTAAATGTACCCATCCCCAGAAACTAACAAATGGTCAATTTGGTTGATTTCCGACCATCATCTATCTGCCTGAAACACTGAAGTTAAAGACTTTGTGAAGATATTTCCACCTGGCTACAGAATGGGGCGCTTACTGTTTATTTCAAAATAAGATGGGCTCAGGTACGTGAGGTCCCTACCTTGCATTGGTGCCAACCCAGTATAGGAGGCCATTTTCATCGAAGTCATGCTGGTGGACAAACGTAATAGGGCCATCATTCTCCTTCAGCTTCTTCACAAAGTTGAAGGTCACTCGCTCATAGTCATACCATTGCTTAGCAACCTGAACACAACAAAACAGTCAAACACCATTATCAAGTGACATCAACAATCTTCAGCTTTGACATCTAGTGTTACATTGTTCCCAACTTATAATAATAAGAGTACTTTTATAGCACCTCATCCACATCACTCAGGGACATGCTCAAGCACATAACATATATACAGGTTCTATGTACAGGAAAGTTGACGTCACAGATATTTCTTGAAGAGGTGAGTTTTGAGCTTGGACTTAAAGAGTGGGAGTGATGGAGAGGTTTTGAGATCCGATGGTAGAGAGTTCCAGAGAGTGGCAGCAGCATGAGAAAATGAATTTGCACCAAAGGTTTTGAGTTTGCACATGGGAACTAGCAAGAGTTGATCGCTGGAGCGGAGAGATCTTTCAGGTTTGTACAGTGTTATCAAATCCTGGAGGTATGCTGGACCAATGTTATTAATAGACTGATAAACAAGGGAGAGCAGTTTACATTCAATCCTCTCGACTTGCATCATAAAAACACTTGAATGTCGTCGGCTGGAAGACACGAACAAAACACAAGTGTACATGAAATGATATCTCCTGCCCCAGTGCACATGATTATTATAAAATCTGTTACTTCTGTGGCTAGAGAGTTTTCAAATCTATGTAACATTAAAACTGCTTAAGAGCCATGTAGGAAGCTTGTTGACAACAATCTCATGCCCCATCAATTGTTACATACAGGTGTCATCTAACCATGAGCTAACTAATAACTTTCTGTTCGTCCAAGTTAGCTGACTACACTGAGATTCCTTGACAAACTGATTCTTACCATTTTTAGCAGGTATCTCTCAAGGTCCGACACAGTGGTCAGTGGCTCCATCTTCAGGCTACGACCAGTTCTGTCTATCAGAGTAGTCTCCCCTGTTGACCTCTCCAGCCGGAACCTGAGCCTCCTCGTTAATATCTACAGATAATGGCAGAATAAGTCACCTGGATCTGACAACCTTACAACAGCTTCACAAATCATATCTACTAATGAATACACTAAGTTTGCAACTGTCACAACTTACAAAAGCTTCACAAATCATATCTACCTGACATGTCTTGTTCTCAAAATGTTTTAAGAACAAGACCACCTCAATCTTCATGTCTGTTAACCTTTCATAGCATCAACTATTAGTCAATATGTGGAAGCCATGTGTAAACTCCAATATCGACTCTCTGAGTTTGGGCTCTGTACAATGAGGTCCCATAGTGGGCATCTGTCTCACCTGTAGCCCATACCCAGATCCTGGCAGATCATATGTAAACACAGGCAGCTTCTCAATTGACTCCAGCGCAGAGATGAGTTTCCTTGTCAACTGGATTGCTGGAGCAACACTGGACAAACAAATATCAAACCAGTGCAACATGTTTGTGATGTCAACACATCATGGGTTCTCGACACTGACAAAAAGTGAACAAATATGGTCATAAGCAGATTGTGATAGAAATACATGTATAGGAGGCATGAAATTAAGTGAAAGTAGATGGCAAACTGAAACACACAAAGAACAAGCACCTTATCTGTCCACACTGCATGGATTGTTCATTATTATTTACATTAATTGTGATTGGTTGCATATTGTTTTGTGATCATCATTCATTATTGGTTTTCAATCAAGAGGGGAAACAATCACAAGACACACATAAAAAGCACATAAAGTATATATATTTATTATCGAAATGTGAGATAACCATGGATGTATCCTTGGTTATTATGTTGGCCACCAGTAGCACATGATGTTAGTGCTTCATAAACATCAGAATAATACCTTCCACAGTACTACCAGTAAATAAATCCTCAACAAAGTCATAAAGTGCTGGGTTGGGAACATTTTTAACAGTACGCCTTTGTCTGTTTGGTAATATCTGAGAGGTTCAAACAAAAATCACTTATATTATAGCACTGGTTTGAAAATTCTGAACTAAAATGTCAGATCCCATGGGTATTAACTAATATCAGCAATGTTCTAGATATTAACTTCTATACTAGTAGTTTAATTTATTGGTCATATTCATTTTCATTACATATAAAAACAAACAAGAGAGAAAATGTATTGAAACAAACAAAATATTCCAGAGAGAGAGAAGTAAATTAATGATTGATCTGCACTTAGCTACATCTAAATGGCACGGACAACATGCTGAGAACTATATACTGGAATGCAAGCATCAACCAAGAGAGATGGCATGTAAACAGCACAAGGAAATATCAATATGTACAAGTGTAATACAAGGATGCCGGAGACATGAGAGAGTGAGTCAAGTCTTACCCATCCTCAGTTAGTCTTGAAACAAAGAAATTCACCTTTTGAGATTTTTGTTACAGTTAAGCATCAATCACATGTATTAACATGTATAACATATAATATTTCTAATTACACATTTCTTGATAAAAAACCACATGTACAAAAACAGTTATCTTCACTCAATTTTTTTTGTTCAGGAATGCCTACCTCTCTTTTTCATGAAAGACCGTCTTGAAAATGTTTATTCTATCTTTAGTCCTCTTCTTGCTCTCCTTCGTTTGAATATCTTCCATATTCTGAAAAACAGAAAACAAACATACACTGAACCAATGAGCAGATATTCTATTAGTGTATAAGGATAATATCTGTGAACTAAGCAGGTACATACAATGATTGTGGTACCTATATCTGTGTCAGGAGCAAGGCAAATCTGTTTAAGTATATCTACCCCTTATGTGGGGAGTCAGAATAGTGGTTCAACCAGCAGAAAGGACACGGGGTCAGTGTGATCTTCACATTTAATAACAATCCACGCAGATCAGTAAATGTTCAGCAATATTCCAGTTAACAGCAACGAATAATCAGTGATGTCAGACCACTGAGACTGACCAAAGACTGACCACTTAGCCAGCTTGGTCACTGAAACAAGTACAGGTTCAAGGAAATCTATTGTATACCTGAATATCACAGGGACAACAGGCTAGCTACAAAGACGTCAGTACTTACATTGTTGAGGACATTGAGCATCGTCTGGACAAGGCCACTACTGTACAGTTCGAAGGAAGAAATGGTGTGTTCATCCTTCAGCAGCGACACCAACTCCTCCAGTGCACTACGCATCTCCTGCCGCCATGTTACATCTCCATTTGTACACTGCAAAACATGAAAGTCAGGATTAAATTAGATAGGTTTAACCCGAACAGTACTTCTACAAAAGTGAGTGAGTGAGTGAGTGAGTGAGTGAGTGAGTGAGTGAGTGAGTGAGTGAGTGAGTGAGTGAGTGAGTGAGTGAGTGAGTGAGTGAGTGAGTGAGTGAGTGAGTGAGTGAGTGAGTTTATTTTTACGCAGCTTTTAGCAATATTCCAGCAATATCACGGCGGGGGACATCAGAAGTGGGCTCCGAACTAGGCTACCCCACCGCCCAGTTCGCTCAAAGGCTCTGACAGTACTTTTGTCAGACGATAAAGTACACTATTTGTATTAAGTCACACTGTATTGAAGTCACTGTGTCATTCTAATCTAACCCCTCATAATCAAACGTGCCCTTGGTAAACAACGACAAGATGCACGTCAGTTGTCATTGTAAAGTAGAGTCTCCTACAGTACAACTAACTCTGTAAGACCCCATTTCTTGGTTTGCAGTTGCTTCCCTCAGCTAACATCACAGGTGGAAACATTACATTTAAACAGCAACACAGCAATGTTCACTAGCTTAGCCTATGGCTTCAGACCCACAATGCATCAGGTCAAACGTTGCATGACCAATCAGCTTCATGTTGGATTTATTGTTCTTAAATGAAGTTGGTAGTAGATATGCGACATTCACATTGCCCCATATGGTTTACGATAATCACAGATGTAACTTAACTAATATACAGACGATATGTAGCCCAAACGGCTTATCCTTTGTTTCCCTGGTAACGAGCGTGTTAATGTAGGGTGGGAAGACACATCAATAAAACAGCACATCGGTTAGCCCTGGATGAGGATTGTTAAGTTGGGTCACCGTCGCTTTTGTTTCTGCCTCGATTAATTGTCACCAAGTCTTAAATTTGACATCTTTGAAAAGAAATATAGGTTGCTCTACCCCCATATATAGTGTAATAAAGTATAGTTTGGCCTTGAACTGTTCTAAACTGTACTTTTTTACACTAAACATGGAGGTAGAGCGACCTGTACTTTTTTATTCAGCCATATGAAGTGTCAAGAGGATCCTAAACATTTGCCTCCTCAGGACCTCGAACCAGCCAGGGTACATGACTACGAAACAAGAATCATTAATCTGGGATTGGAACCTAACGTAAGACCGCATAACATGAAGATAAGAAACTGTATGACTTCCTTCTTGCTACTGGGCTAAATCTTCAAGAACTGTTAAAACGCAAAACAAAAACTAATTTGATGTAATACTGAGGAGTAAAACAAATTTGACCACCCAAAGGAGTTGTTTTTAATCACAGTTTCATTATCTGAGTTAACAAATATTTATGAAAAGTGAATTTGCATGCACACACACTCAACAAAACATACAAATAGCATATACATGGACTCCAGAATGTGAGTGGGTTATCTCCCTTACCTTGATCTGACTGATCTGTTTAGCACAGGAAGACTCCAACTGTTGAACTATCCCACACAGCTTAGCAACAACACCCCTGGGTGTGGCCTCCGCCACCTTGAAGTAATCCTCATACAACTCTCGAGCTAAACTCTTCACCTAGAGGGCAGAATAAGACAATGTAGCTATACATCATTGGTAATATAATCAGTGAGACAAAAGAAGGGCAGTAGAAATATTTCTTGCTCAACATGTTAATTTGACACAATTTGTTGCCCTACATGATTTATTGGCCTCAAAGTCATGGTAACATTATGTTTTAGGATTTTCTCAAATGTTGCCCACCTTCGATCTAATGGCGTCTACTTTTGATCTAAGTTTCTTGCTCTTCTTGCCCCCCCAGCCAACAGCAAACTCCGGCCCTAGTGATGTCTCCGCTGTGAACGAATGTTTGGTGCCACGATTTGACTCAAAGATGAATCCAGGAAGATCTTCTCGTAATATTGTGGCCTGAAAAGATGAAACTTTTCAATACAAGCATATTCCAGAAACAAGAACAAGAAAACAACATCTGTATTACAGATTTCAAAATATATTATTCATAATAAAACATTCATTGAAAGTATTTCAACAAATGAAATGAAATGTAAAAAACATCTCCCTTACTGTTACATTTAATTACACTGAGCATTGTCCACTACCTGCCGTCTTCATTGCACAATCTCCCTTACTCTTACAGGGAATGATTCTGACCACTGTCCACTACCTATTGTCTTCATTGCACAATCTCCCTCACTCTTACAGGGAATGATTCAGACCACTGTCCACTACCTGCCGTCTTCATTGCACAATCTCCCTTACTCTTACAGGGAATGATTCCGACCACTGTCCACTACCTATCGTCTTCATTGCACAATCTCCCTTACTCTTACAAGGAATGATTCAGACCACTGTCCACTACCTATCGTCTTCACTGCACAATCACCCTTACTCTTACAGGGAATGATTCAGACCACTGTCCACTACCTATCGTCTTCACTGCACAATCTCCTTCACTCTTACAGGGAATGATTCCGACCACTGTCCACTACCTGTCGTCTTCACTGCACAATCACCCTTACTCTTACAGGGAATGATTCAGACCACTGTCCACTACCTATCGTCTTCACTGCACAATCTCCTTCACTCTTACAGGGAATGATTCTGACCACTGTCCACTACCTGCCGTCTTCATTGCACAATCTCCCTCACTCTTACAGGGAATGATTCAGACCACTGTCCACTACCTGCCGTCTTCATTGCACAATCTCCCTTACTCTTACAGGGAATGATTCTGACCACTGTCCACTACCTGCCGTCTTCATTGCACAATCTCCCTTACTCTTACAGGGAATGATTCAGACCACTGTCCACTACCTGCCGTCTTCATTGCACAATCTCCCTTACTCTTACAGGGAATGATTCAGACCACTGTCCACTACCTGTCGTCTTCACTGCACAATCTCCCTTACTCTTACAGGGAATGATTCTGACCACTGTCCACTACCTGCCGTCTTCATTGCACAATCTCCCTCACTCTTACAGGGAATGATTCAGACCACTGTCCACTACCAGTCGTCTTCATTGCACAATCTCCTTACTTACTTTACAGGGAATGATTCAGACCACTGTCCACTACCTGCACCTGCCGTCTTCACTGCACAATCTCCCTTACTCTTTCAGGGAATGATTCCGACCACTGTCCACTACCTGCCGTCTTCATTGCACAATCTCCTTACTCTTACAAGGAATGATTCAGACCACTGTCCACTACCTATCGTCTTCATTGCACAATCTCCCTCCTTACTCTTACAGGGAATGATTCAGACCACTGTCCACTACCTATCGTCTTCACTGCACAATCTCCTTCACTCTTACAGGGAATGATTCCGACCACTGTCCACTACACCTGTCGTCTTCACTGCACAATCACCCTTACTCTTACAGGGAATGATTCAGACCACTGTCCACTACCTATCGTCTTCACTGCACAATCTCCTTCACTCTTACAGGGAATGATTCTGACCACTGTCCACTACCTGCCGTCTTCATTGCACAATCTCCCTTACTCTTACAGGGAATGATTCCGACCACTGTCCACTACCTGCCGTCTTCACTGCACAATCTCCTTACTCTTTCAGGGAATGATTCCGACCACTGTCCACTACCTGCCGTCTTCATTGCACAATCTCCCTCACTCTTACAGGGAATGATTCAGACCACTGTCCACTACCTGCCGTCTTCATTGCACAATCTCCCTTACTCTTACAGGGAATGATTCCGACCACTGTCCACTACCTATTGTCTTCACTGCACAATCTCCCTTACTCTTACAGGGAATGATTCCGACCACTGTCCACTACCTATCGTCTTCATTGCACAATCTCCCTTACTCTTACAGGGAATGATTCAGACCACTGTCCACTACCTATCGTCTTCACTGCACAATCTCCTTCACTCTTACAGGGAATGAATCCGACCACTGTCCACTCACTACCTGTCGTCTTCACTGCACAATCACCCTTACTCTTACAGGGAATGATTCAGACCACTGTCCACTACCTATCGTCTTCACTGCACAATCTCCTTCACTCTTACAGGGAATGATTCAGACCACTGTCCACCACCTGTCGTCTTCATTGCACAATCTCCCTCACTCTTACAGGGAATGATTCAGACCACTGTCCACTACCTATCGTCTTCACTGCACAACCTCCCTTACTCTTACAAGGAATGATTCCGACCACAGTCCACTACCTGCCGTCTTCACTGCACAATCTCCCTTGCTCTTACAAGGAATGATTCAGACCACTGTCCACTACCAGTCGTCTTCATTGCACAATCTCCCTTACTCTTACAGGGAATGATTCAGACCACTGTCCACCACCTGTCGTCTTCACTGCACAACCTCCCTTACTCTTACAAGGAATGATTCAGACCACTGTCCACTACCTGCCGTCTTCACTGCACAATCTCCCTTACTCTTACAGGGAATGATTCAGACCACTGTCCACTACCAGTCGTCTTCATTGCACAATCTCCCTTACTCTTACAGGGAATGATTCAGACCACTGTCCACCACCTGTCGTCTTCATTGCACAATCTCCCTCACTCATACAAGGAATGATTCAGACCACTGTCCACTACCTATTGTCTTCATTGCACAATCTCCCTTACTCTTACAGGGAATGATTCTGACAACTGTCCACTACCTGTCGTCTTCACTGCACAATCTCCCTTACTCTTACAGGGAATGAATCCGACCACTTTCCACTACCTATTGCCTTCATACCATGCAGACACCCCTAGTGGCCACCTACCTGTTGGCCATCAGAGTTGTGGATCTGGACTTCGCCCTCCTTCTTGCAGGTGAGAGCCCAGTTGCCAACCACCAGCCGGGTGGTACACAGATGGGTCATGATGGGCTGGCTCGGGGTGCCAGCCTTGATCTGACTCCGTGCACGCTGCAGCTTCTCTAGGAACTCACCACGGTTCTCTGAAACCAAGACAGTCCAATATAAATGTCATTAGATACCATGGCACAGTAAGATCTGGTAAAAAGGTGCATATCTCACACACTGTAAATTGAAAATATGAGAACACAAAGCACTTTAAAATACAAAAATGTAACAACATACAGTTGATAATGATCAGTTATTGGAAGCCACTTGACAATCCTGTATTCTTCAGACCACTGTGCCACACCTTCAGCCTAACTGTCAGGGGACACATTACCCTCAAACTATTGTGCCCCATCCTCACCTGAACTGTCAGAGCCCCCTTCTGGGCTGCCACTGGAGTACATGGTGGCCAGCTTGCTGTCCAGAATAAAGCGGAACCAGCCATTACTTCCATTGGAGAGTTCGAGGGCAGCAGCATCACTCCACAGGTATAGGCAGTCGCGGCCCCGCACGATGCACCAGTCTCGCCAATGATACGGTTTCCCCTGGACAATCTCCCTGGCATCCTCCACCACTGTCTCTTCCTCCTCCTTGATGCAGAACTGAGAGCAGAAACCCACAATCCAGTAACACCGACATACAGCACATCAACACACACACACAGTCCAGGAACAGACACACAGCACATCAACACACACACAGACACACAGCACATCAACACAGACACACAGCACATCAACACAGACACACATAGCACATCAACACAGACACACACAGCACATCAACACAGACACACAGCACATCAATACAGACACACAGCACATCAAGACAGACAGGCACACAGCACATCAACAGACACACAGCACATCAACACAGACACACAGCACATCAATACAGACACACAGCACATCAAGACAGACAGGCACACAGCACATCAATACAGACAGGCACACAGCACATCAACAGACACACAGCACATCAACACAGACACAGCACATCAAAACAGACACACAACACATCAACTCAGACACACAGCATATCAACACAGACACTGCACATCAACACAGACACACAGCACATCAACACAGACACACAGCACATCAATACAGACACACAGCACATCAAGACAGACAGGCACACAGCACATCAACAGACACACAGCACATCAACACAGACACACAGCACATCAATACAGACACACAGCACATCAAGACAGACAGGCACACAGCACATCAATACAGACAGGCACACAGCACATCAACAGACACACAGCACATCAACACAGACACACTGCACATCAACACAGACACACAGCACATCAACACAGACACACAGCACATCACAGCACAGCACATCAAACACAGCACATCAAACAGACAGACACACAGCACATCAACACAGACACACAGCACATCAACACAGACACAGCACATCAAAACAGACACACAACACATCAACAGACACACAGCACATCAACACAGACACACAGCACATCAACACAGACACACAGCACATCAACACAGACACACAGCACATCAATACAGACAGGCACACAGCACATCAACAGACACACAGCACATCAACACACACAGCACATCAAAACAGACACACAACACATCAACTCAGACACACAGCACATCAATACAGACACACAACACATCATCACAGACAGACACACAGCACATCAACACAGACAGACAGCACATCAATCAACAGACACACAGCACATCAACACAGACACAGCACATCAACACATCAACAGACACACATCAACTCAGACACAGCACATCACATCAACACAGACACAGCACATCAACACAGACACACAGCACATCAACACAGACACACAGCACATCAACACAGACACAGCACATCAGACAGACAGGCACACAGCACATCAACAGACACACAGCACATCAACACACACACAGCACATCAATACAGACACACAGCACATCAAGACAGACAGGCACACAGCACATCAATACAGACAGGCACACAGCACATCAACAGACACACAGCACATCAACACAGACACACAGCACATCAAACACAGACACACACACACATCACAACACAGACACACAGCACATCAACACAGACACACAGCACATCAACACAGACACACAGACACAACAGACACACAGCATCAACACAGAACACACAGCACATCAACAGACAAATAGCACATCAATACAGACACATCAAACACAGCATCAATCAGACAGACACATCAACACAACACATCAACTCAGACACACAGCACATCAACAGACAGCACATCAACACAGACACAGCACATCAACACAGACATCACACAGCACAGCACATCACACACACACAGCACATCAACACACACACAGCACATCAACATAGACACACAGCACATCAACATAGACACACAGCACATCAACACAGACACACAGCACATCAACACAGACACACAGCACATCAACATAGTACACACAGCACACCAACACAGACACACAGCACACCAACACAGACACCCAGCACATCAACACAGACACACAGCACATCAACATAGTACACAGCACATCAACATAGTACACAGCACATCAACATAGTACACAGCACATCAACATAGTACACAGCACATCAACACAGACACAGCACATCAACACAGACACACAGCACATCAACATAGCACACAGCACATCAACACAGACACACAATGACAAAAGATGATCATTACCTTCTCATCCTTCACTTTCACAACGGCCTCATCTTCCTCCGGCGGCGGACCGGCCAGTCCCAAGACACGGCCAAACAGTCCGAGGCGAGCAAAGTGTTCCAGGAAGGTGCTCTGCCCCTTCTGCATGAGGTCCTGTGTGATCTGCAGTACTGTGTAGTGGCCATCATCATCGTCCTAGATTCAAACAGAGAGGGGGTGAAACGGTGCAGGGATACAGCTTTGGGTAGGGAATACAGTCTTGAGAAAGGTGTTGAGTCTGGGGCTGGGATATGGTCTGAGTGCAGGGATACAGTCTGGGTGCCGGGATACATTCAGGGTGCAGGGATACAGTCTGGGTGCAGGGATACAGTCTGGGTGTAGGGATACAGTCTGTGTGCAGGGATACAGTCTGGGTACAGGGATACAGTCTGGGTGCAGGGATAAAGTCTGGGTGCAGGGATACAGTCTGGGTGTAGGGATAAAGTCGGTGCAGGGATACAGTCTGGGTGCAGGGATACATTCTGGGTGCAGGGATATATGCTGGGTGCAGGGATACAGTCTGGGTGCAGGGATATAGTCTGGGTGCAGGGATACAGTCTGGGTGCAGGGATACAGTCTGGGTGCAGGGATACAGTCTGGGTGCAGGGATACAGTCTGGGTGCAGGGATACAGTCTGGGTGTACGGATACAGTCTGGGTGTAGGGATATATTCTGGGTGTAGCAATACATTCTGGGTGCAGGGATACAGTCTGGGTGCAGGGATACAGTCTGGGTGTACTGGATAAAGTCTGGGTGTAGGGATAAAGTCGGTGTAGGGATATATGCTGGGTGCAGGGATGAAGTCTGGGTGCAGGGATACATTCTGGGTGCAGGGATACATTCTGGGTGCAGGGATACAATCTGGGTGCAGGGATATATTCTGGGTGCAGGGATATATTCTGGGTGCAGGGATAAAGTCTGGGTGCAGGGATAAAGTCTGAGTGTAGGGATAAAGTCGGTGTAGGGATACAGTCTGGGTGCAGGGATACAGTCTGGGTGTACGGATAAAGTCTGGGTGCAGGGATACAGTCTGGGTGCAGGGATACAGTCTGGGTGCAGGGATACAGTCTGGGTGCAGGGATTCAGTCTGGGTGCAGGATTACAAGGATACAATTTGGGTACAGGGATACAGGGATACAGTCTGGGTGCAGGGATACAGTCTGGATGTAGGGATAAAGTCTGGATGCAGGAATACAGGGATACAGTCTGGGTGCAGGGATACAGTCTGGGTACAGGGATACAGTCTGGGTGCAGGGATAAAGTCTAAAAATTACAAGGATAGTCTGGGTGCAGGGATTTGGGTGCAGGGAGTCTGGGTGCAGGGACAGGGATACAGTCTGGGATGCAGTGCAGGGATACAGTCTGGGTGTAGGGATAAAGTCTGGATGCAGGAATACAGGGATACAGTCTCGGTGCAGGGAAACAGTCTGGGTGCAGGGATAAAGTCTGGGTGCAGGGATAAAGTCTGGGTGCAGGGATACAGGGATACAGTCTGGGTGCATGGATAAAGTCTGGGTGCAGGGATACAGGGATACAGTCTGGGTGCATGGATAAAGTCTGGGTGCAGGGATACAGGGATACAGTCTGGGTACAGGGATACAGTCTGGGTGCAGGGATACAGGGATACAGTCTGGATGCAGGATTACAAGGATACAATTTGGGTACAGGGATACAGGGATACAGTCTGGGTGCAGGGATAAAGTCTGGGTGCAGGGATAAAGTTTGGGTGCAGGGATACAGGGATACAGTCTGGGTGCATGGATAAAGTCTGGGTGCAGGGATACAGGGATTCAGTCTGGGTGCATGGATAAAGTCTGGGTGCAGGGATACAGGGATACAGTCTGGGTGCAGGGATACAGTCTGGGTGCAGGGATACAGGGATACAGTCTGGGTGCAGGGATAAAATCTGGGTGTAGGGATACAGTCTGGGTTGCAGGGATACAGTCTGGGTGCAGGGATACAGTCCAAAAAAAGGGGTTCAATCTGGGGTGGGGATACAGTCTAAGGAAAGGGTTCAATCTCGATGAGATACAGTCAAAGGAAAGGTATTCAGTCTGAGAGTACAGTTTCAATTAATCTTTCATTAATTTACCACATTAAGATTCATTTTTTCAGTCATTATGATCCCTGTCCAACATGTTTACTATCAACAACAAAACAGTTTCTCTGTTACATGCTAACATCATCAAATCTGACCTCTGTGTCCAGGACGGTGGCGAGGACCTCAGTGAGGGATGAAGCAAAGTTGGGGGAGGTGAACTCTGGCCCACACATCTCATCCAGCAGAGGGCCCCCCATGTAATGGAGCATTTTGCGGATCAGAGACAAACTGGCTTTCCTGCAGTGAAAAAATTGTGTTAGTTCATTACTGCCTCAACAAATCACTTGTGTTCCACCAGACATCATCCAAGGATAAATGACCCCCTACCTGAGACCAGCATGTAACTTGTGAATTACTCAATCATGGAATCTCCTCCTGACACACACTTCCCCCTCCCCACGTACCTGACTGAGGCTAGCATGGAACTGTGGAACACCTGTGTGAAGACCGGCAGCAGTCGTTGCACATATAGTGGTGCCACCTCAGGATCGCCCTTGGGCTCAGCCGAGTCAACTCTCTCCGATTCACTGTTCTCTTCCTTTTTCTCCTTCTCTCCTTCTGTTGTGGCCTGTGCTCCTTCTCGGTTGACTGGTACCATCCATTCACCTGGCACACACAACATATGTTGTCACTGTGGGTGGTCACAGGGCTCTTCTGTAGTAATTATTGTGTGTTGTTGCATTTAAATATTTCCGTGAAGCATGTAATGCAGATATTTCATCCTATATTTGCATTTTTCAACTACAATGAGCTCAGGAAGCTGTAGCATAAATGAGATTGCAGTCTGGAGCAAGACTTAAGACTTCAAGTACACACAGAAGTACATTCTAGAATACACCTGGAGTACACACCGCAATACATCTTAAGACTACAAGTTCAAGTACACACAGAAGTACATTCTAGACTTACAGTTGGAGTACACTCTAAGTAAATGCTGCACTACACCAAGAACAACTATATGTACTACACCCTGGAAACCTGTACTACACCCTGGATGCTTGTACTACACCCTGGAAACCTGTACTACACCCTGGATGCTTGTACTACACCCTGGAAACCTGTACTACACCCTGGAAACCTGTACTACACCCTACTACACCCTGGATGCTTGTACTACACCCTGGATGCTTGTACTACACCCTGGAAACCTGTACTACACCCTGGATGCTTGTACTAAACCCTGATGCTTGTACTACACCCTGGAAACCTGTACTACACCCTGGAAACCTGTACTACACCCTGGATGCTTGTACTACACCCTGGATGCTTGTACTACACCCTGGAAACCTGTACTACACCCTACTACACCCTACCCTGGATGCTGTACTACACCCTGGAAACCTGAAACCTTGTACTACACCCTGGATGCTTGTACTACACCCTGGATGCTTGTACTACACCCTGGATGCCTGTACTACACCCTGGAACCTGTACTACACCCCTGTACTACACCCACTACACCCTGGATGCTTGTACTACACCCTGGAAACCTGTACTACACCCTGGATGCTTGTACTACACCCTGGATGCTTGTACTACACCCTGGATGCTTGTACTACACCCTTGTACTACACCCTGGAAACCTGTACTACACCCTGGATGCTTGTACTACACCCTGGAAACCTGTACTACACCCTGGATGCTTGTACTACACCCTGGATGCTTGTACTACACCCTGGAAACCTGTACTACACCCTGGATGCTTGTACTACACCCTGGAAACCTGTACTACACCCTGGAAACCTGTACTACACCCTGGATGCTTGTACTACACCCTGGAAACCTGTACTACACCCTGGATGCTTGTACTACACCCTGGAAACCTGTACTACACCCTGGATGCTTGTACTACACCCTGGATGCTTGCTTGTACTACACCCTGGAAACCTGTACTACCTGGATGCCTGGATGCCTGTACTACACCCTGGTACCTGTACTACACCCTGAACACCCTTGTACTACACCCTGGATGCTTGTACTACACCCTGGATGCTTGTACTACACCCTGGATGCTTGTACTACTGTACTACACCCTGGATGCTTGTACTACACCCTGATGCTTGTACTACACCCTGGACTGCTTGATGCTTGTGTACTACAACTACAACCTGCCTGGATGGACTACACCCTAACCTGTACTACACCCTGGATGCTTGTACTACACCCTGGAACCCTGTACTACACCCTGGACACCCTGTACTACACACCCTGGATGCTACATTTGTACTGGATGCTTGTACACCCTGGATGCTTGTACTACACCTATGTATACACCCTGGATGCTTGTACACCCTGGATGCTTGTACTACATTTACTATTTCGATGCAAACTGGACTACATCCTGGACTGCAGCAACAAACAACCTGATGTGGATGCCTAGATGTGGATGCTGATGGACTCACCTGGAGACTGCAGCAACAAGTGAAATAGAAACCTAGATGTGGATGCTGATGGACTCACCTGGAGACTGCAGCAACAAGTGAAACCTAGATGTGGATGCTGATGGACTCACCTGGAGACTGCAGCAACAAAAGTGAAACCTAGATGTGGATGCTGATGGACTCACCTGGAGACTGCAGCAACAAGTGAAACCTAGATGTGGATGCTGATGGACTCACCTGGAGACTGCAGCAACAAGTGAAAACCTAGATGTGGATGCTGATGGACTCACCTGGAGACTGCAGCAACAAGTGAAACCTAGATGTGGATGCTGATGGACTCACCTGGAGACTGCAGCAACAAGTGAAACCTAGATGTGGATGCTGATGGACTCACCTGGAGACTGCAGCAACAAGTGAAACCTAGATGTGGATGCTGATGGACTCACCTGGAGACTGCAGCAACAAGTGAAACCTAGATGTGGATGCTGATGGACTCACCTGGAGACTGCAGCAACAAGTGAAACCTAGATGTGGATGCTGATGGACTCACCTGGAGACTGCAGCAACAAGTGAAACCTAGATGTGGATGCTGATGGACTCACCTGGAGACTGCAGCAACAAGTGAAACCTAGATGTGGATGCTGATGGACTCACCTGGAGACTGCAGCAACAAGTGAAACCTAGATGTGGATGCTGATGGACTCACCTGGAGACTGCAGGATCTGGATGACCTCCCTGTGACCCTCGTCCCCTCTCTCACGAGCCTTGTCCAGCGGGGTCTTGCTGTCTTCATCACGCAGGTCAGGATTGGCGCCATACCGCAATAGTGTCTACAGGACAAGAAAGAAATTGCATGTGCTTAATGCCTTGATTAGCAATATATCAGCCTAAGTGATTCATATTTTGAGAACTACAATTACCTTCGTCAACGTAGCATGCTGACACACCAAATAACTCTTATGAGGATGTTGACACCATCAACCAAATCACTCTACACTATCCATTTACTTCCCTCTTATAAGAATGTTGACACCATCAACCAAATCACTCTACACTATCCATTACCTTCCCTCTTATAAGCAGCTCTTGTTGCTAGATACCAAATCAAACCTGGAATTTCAACAAGTTTTCTGATTTAGTTGCCTATTATGACTAGCAATGAGGTGCTGAGATTCAAACATGTGAACACACCTCCGCAGCTATATCGTGGTGACATGCATGTAATTAGTCTGAGCCAGACAATGCAGTGATCAGATCATGATCATTGATTCATGTCATTCATAAATAGACCTTACCCAACCCAGCCTGAATAGATGAGATAGTGATCATACTTTGACAATCTGTGGTCTGCCGAAACAGGCAGCATAGTGGAGAGATGAGGACCGCAGTCCTCGGTTGACATCAGCTCCTCGTTCACACAGGAACTCCACCTGAACACAGACAACACAAGCAATCAACACCCAGGGTCAACAGAATTACGTAAAAATCCGAATCAATTAGATACTGCTAAATAATGCACAATTACAGTCCTTAAAAGAAATATCAGTGACAAATGTGTTCTAAAATCTGCGAGACACACACCATTTCTTGGGTTCCAAATGCAGAGGCCCAGTTGAGGAGAGTCTGACCAACATCATCCATAAAGTTGACTTCAAAACCTGAAGATTGAAATGCTGAGATCTGTGACACTGAGTTATACTGGTACACACACATGCTTCTTGAAGCAACTGCATCACCAACATGAACATAATGTAGCATATGTTGATGGAACAAGTTAACTGGACATCAGTACATAAATGAAAGAGGTGTGAATCTGAGGGTGCAGTGTATGGATTATGTATTGAAATGATGTCCGACAGGCACTACGGTTCACAATGAACACTCAAGACAACAGGAAGGTGAGGTGAAATTGGGTTTAATGTCATACTTGAGAATATTTCGCTCATATGACGACGTGTGTGTGTATATGTGTGGCTGCTTGTACTAGTCCACACTTAACCTGGTTTTTTAGTGCTAGCTCACTGAGATACCATGCCGCAGTGAAGCATGAATACCCCACTCAGACACATTATACTGAATCCGAGCCGACCAGTCCTTGTTGTACCTATTAATGCCAAGAGCCAGGCAGGGTCCAACAAGTACCATTTTTTATGTCTTTTGGTATGACACGCCTGTGGATCGAAGCAGAGTCCTTCCGCTCTCCTGACGGATGCTCTAACCACTACACTACGGGAGGCGGCTGCCAGGCAGGAAGCACACAACACAAACTGATCTTGATTCTGGTCCAAGAGTCAGACCTTACATCAAAATGGGTTTTCAGCTATGATTCGAAATTTACCAGATGTCCATACACCTTACCATTATCTATAGCATCTATGAGAGCATCCGTGTCTTTGCTGCGTATACAGTCAATAAGCTGCCGATGTGACCTCTCCCCTGCACTGTCTGTGCGTCTCAGCCCTGGCAGGCGACTAGTGATGCTACACACGCCAGTCTTGGGCAGCGCCTTCCTTCCCTCAAACAGCAGCACCAGCAACAGGTCCACCAACCTCATTGTGTCCAGGCAGCATCTGCGACATATTTGCAGATCAAATTAATAACTCTTTTCAAACTCTGCAGATAATTCTAGATACACAGTACTATTCTTTATTTTCTGTACAGCAAGAAAATATTAAATTTACTAATCACACAGCAAATGAGATAGAGGTAAAACATTGGAACTGTCTTTCAAAGTGACAGCATGTCAGCTTCCTGAATGGACAACTTGTTGAGGGTACTGCTGGCAGACCATGCATCCTAGTTATAGCCTGTGACATCAAACCACCCCACCTCCTACCTTTCACTGCTTTACCTGTCTTTACACAAGATTCATGAGCCATAGGCTAAAACAATAGCATCAGAACCAGAATGCAAATGCAGTTTCACCTCAATATAACCTACCACTTTAAACTCCCAAGCTGTACCCAAAGTTCCACTACCATGGTTAACAAGGTAACCAGCCTAACAAGGTTTCTCTAAACAGGTTCAAAGTGGGCTCTTCATGGTTATCCTTTTCCTATGTAGATATTGAATTTCATCAAGTTCTCATCATTTGTATCATTAGATGATGAACTCACCATAGCTTTATATGTAAATGTAAACAAATGCTGACCCTGACGTTATTGATCACTGACAGCATGAAATTAAATCAATAGCAGAGAAAGTAAGGGCAGATGAGCATAATCAATCATTCATAAGATGGCACGCCCAGTGAGACACAATCTATGGTTTTCTGGAGATTGGAGGAAGAACGTCTGCAGTCTTGGTGTAACTGCCAGCCACTATTCCCAGGACTGCCAGGAATTAGTCCACTAGTTAACAGTTTAGTTTCAGGCATGAACTTGGACTAAAGCCACAGAAAACATTAATTTAGTGGTATCTAGTCACATCGAACACTTGTGGTGCCTACTTTGGATAGTCACTTCCTTGAAACATGCCTCTATCCATCTAACAATGAATGTGTACCCAGTTGGAGGGGATGGTAATGTGCCTGTTGACCTAATCACTCACATGCAGCTTAGGGTGTATATTTTCAAGGGAGCTGAGAATGAAGATCGAGTGCACACTGATCCACTGACGTGTGTTGTGCAGATATATAGCAAAATATGTACAGCATTGGAGCTGCTGTTGTGTTGTCATTGTCATCATAATCATTATCATCAGATTAAAAAATCCACAAAGTCATTCCTCATTATGACTTATTCCTGAACCAAATTCCTTTCCACAGTAGGCTTTGAATAACTGGGTGTTATCATTGATCGGTACACAACCTACCTAATGGCAGATGGCTGTCCTGTACTTGCCAGCATTCAGGCACTACCATAACAGGCACTACCAGAAATGACTCTATGTCTCACTCCTCCTCCTCCCTCTTCTGACACCCTGATCTCCTCCCTCCTCCGAATCACCGATCTCCTCCCTCCTCCGACACACCGATCTCCTCCCTCCTCCCGACACACCCTCCCCTCCTCCTCCCTCCTCCTCTGACACCCTGATTTCCCTCCTATGATCTCCGAATCATCTCATGATCTCCTCCTCCTCCGACACCTGATCTCTCCCTCCTCCCTCCTCCCTCCCTGACTCCCCCTGATTTCCCTCCCTCCTCTGATCTCCTCCTCCTCCGACACACTGATCTCCCTCCCTCCTCTGACACCCTGATTTCCTCCCTCCTCTGATCTCCTCTCTCCTCCGACACACTGATCTCTGATCTCCCTCCCTCCTGACACCTGATGATCTCCTCCTCTCCTCCTCTGACACTATGATCTCCTCCCTACTCCTGATCTCTGATGACACCCTGATCTCCTCCCTACTGGACACCCTGATCTCCCTACCTCCTCCTCCTGACACTGATCTCCTCCCTCCTCTGATACCCTCCTCTTTTCCCTCCTCTGACACACTGATTCTCCTCCCTCCTCTGATCTCCTCCCTACTCCCTCCATTGTTAACATGATATCCTCCCTCCTAAAACACCCTGATCTCATCTTTCCTCTTACACCTGATCTCCTCCCTACTCCCTCCTGACACCCTGATCTCCTTGCTCCTATGACACCTTGATCTCCTCCTCTTGACACCCTGATCTTCTCTATCTTCTGAGACCCTGTTTCTCTTGACACCCTGATCTCTCCCTCCTGACACACTCTCCTACTTCTTTCTCTGGCACCCTGATCTCCTCGATCTCCTGACACCTGATCTCGATCTTCTGACACGGATCTCCCCTGCCCTCCTCTCATCCTCCCTCCTCTTTTATGCCCTCCTCTGACAACATCCCTCCTCTTTATGCCCTCCTCTGACAACACCTTTATGCTTAACATCACTTGTCCTCTTTTATGCCCTCCTCTGACATATCCTCTTTATGCCCTCCCTCTGACATCACATCCTCTTTATGCCCTCCTCTCTTTATGCCCTCCTCTGACAACATACATCACCTCTATGCCCTCCTCTGATCAACATCACACTTTATGCCCTCCTCTGACAACATCACATTCTCTTTTTCCTCTGGCACATCCCTTTTTATGCCCTCCTCTGACAACATCCACATCCTCTTTATGCCCTCCTCTGACATCACATCCTCTTTATGCCCTCCTCTGACAACATCACATCCCTCCTGCCCTCCTCTGACACATCCTCTTTATGCCCTCCTGACAACATCACATCCCTCTTTATGCCCTCCTCTGACACATCGGATCTCCTCTTTATCCCTCCTCTGACATCACATCATCCTCTTTATGCCCTCCTCTGACAACATCACATCCTCTTTATGCCCTCCTCTGACAACATCACATCCTCTTTATGCCCTCCTCTGACATCACATCCTCTTTATGCCCTCCTCTGACAACATCACATCCTCTTTATGCCCTCCTCTGACAACATCACATCCTCTTTATGCCCTCCTCTGACAACATCACATCCTCTTTATGCCCTCCTCTGACAACTGATCACATCACATCCTCTTTATGCTGACAACATCCCACATCCTCCTTGCCCTCTCTCTCACAACTGATCTCCTCCTTATGCCCTACATCCATGTCTCTCACAACTGATCTCCTCCCTACTTTCACATCCTGCTCACCTTTCATCCCCTCTCAGCCCACTTTCCACTGCTTCAGGCAATTCTGAGCGCAGCAAGTCATGGGTGATGACAGGAGATCCTCGACACAATGTAGACAGGAGACTTATCACAGTGGACATACTGGGACTGGACTTGGACTCTGTGGCCATGTTCGCTGTACCGGGAGTACTGGTGAGAGAGACATTGTGTCCAGCCTCCCCCACACGGTGTAGGCGTTGCAGCAGCTCCTGGATCAAGCCATGTTTGGCAAGGGGGGCAGGGTCGATCCCACGTCGGGTGAATCTGTCTGCCAATGAAGCAAAGCAACGGAGTGCTCCATCAGCAACCTGCAAAACATAATCCAAAATTACTTGACGTGACAAACACATATAATGATGGGGAGACATTGGCTGTCATGTATGGAGCATAACTGGAAGAAGACTCAGGAAGACTCACGTATTGGTCATCATGCTCCAACAGGGTTGATAAAGACTCCACACACGTCTCCTGTGAAGTGTCCTGCGGTTCCATTTTGCCACAGAGCCGTGACACCACTGACATGGCAGAGTGAAGGGTGTCCTTGTGGACCTGGGAGCCATGCTCACGGATGAAGGTCAGGACACAGTTCAGTCCTCCTGACTCAAACACTGCACCTGACTCTCGTGTACAGATCAACTCCAGGACCTGCATACACAAGTTACAACATCTTACATATCAGATCTATACTAAGTATTACAGTGAAAATCATATACAATTTGCAATGACCTGATTATCCCCTTGACCTGAAGAACATCATCTTTAATATATTTAAACAACATCTGGTTCAAAGATAGGCAAAAATGTGAAACCAGATGAATTTAGTAATGGTCGTATAGTGAGGAGTATGGTTGTGTGTGTTACATGTGAAGGGAAGGGAGAGTCTACGTACTTTGATGCACTGCTCTGCAAGGTCCTTACTCGTACGGGAAGACATCTCAGCAACAACCAGCCGGTTGCACAGAGCCTTGATAGCGCCATCTACAGCCACAATTCTGCGGGTGCACTCAGCAGAGACATCCAAGTAGTAGGTGATGGCACGGGCTGTCACTTCTAGGACGTTGTCTGGGGCACACTCATCCAGGAAGATACGGCAAAGTGCTGGTAGGAAAGTGCGTGGAGGGCAGCTGGAAGACAGAATACATTGATCAGACAAACGGCAACACGACTTGTATTAGTGATGACTACTGGAGTCACTATTGAGATTGTACTGCAATAGTAGCCCACACTAAGTATTGTGATCGTTGCCAATTATTGCAACAGTATAGCAGTAGTAGTATACCCACTTTTAGGCTTGGATTAAAGTAACAGATCTAGGCTCATTTGCTACTAAAACCAAATGAAGCAATTACAATTTGAAGTTGTTGAAATGTTTGCTAACAAACAACACAGGTAGGTTTCAGATTTGCAAATTATATGCAACACTTAAAACTAATTGAAATTAAAGTGTTTCATTTACACTATTGACAATACTAACAACAATCAGTATTTTATTTTCCTATCAATAAAGTATTAAAACTGTAATAAAAAACCCACATTCTCAGAGTCAGGCACCCAATCACTAGCGCACATAGTCAGCGATCTAACACATTCGGCCCATGTGACTTCCACAATAATGGAAGTCAAGACAACTCGTAGTCTAGATCACATACTTTATGTACTACTGGAAGCCGCGGTGGCTGAGCGGTCTAGGCGTCTGACTTTGTGTGCTGGCGATTAGGTGCCTGACTCTGAGGGTGTGGGTTCGAATCCCGGATGGGACTCAACCCAATAAAAGTAGTAGAATCTGTACTTTACAAAGAAAGTGTAATCCCAAATATAACATATGTTACATTTGACCACTTTCTAAATGGCATTGTGTATTTAATAACTACTGAGGTTTATGTCTATGTATGTCACTGACAAGGACAGACATGGCTACTAGTCTGCTCTTTCCTCACAAAATCCAGCAGATTTACGCAAACCACTGGTCCAAAATGAATTGTAGACAGATGGATATCACCACCGGCGTTAGACTAACATCTAGTCTCTCAAATGAACATGTTTTACGGGAAAAAAACTGTTCACAAACAATAATCATAAATAATAATAAAAAGTAGCCCAGAGACTTGCTTCATTTTCAGAAACTGTGGAAATCTAGACCTGCCACATTTTCTAGACTTGCATGGGCTTTCTTGGATATTTGTTTCAGCGTCTGTAAGACTACACTGGTGGCCCCTCTAGACAGTACCTGACACCTATTGGTTCACAAGCAGGGTCGGTTGATTGCAGTTGCTGCTGTCCAAATACACACTGATCACCATGACAACAGATATACAGGCAACAAGAAAATCAGACAAAATCCTTACGAAAGTATGTGTAAACTCGAGCATGTGAGCTCTGTGTAGAACTATGGCACTAATCCCTACATACCACGCTCTTCAGCTACAGCTCACCAAGTGTTGGCAATTACTGGATTCGAGCACCTACAGACAGAGGGGTGCACCTATCTCATACTGATGTTTGGGGAAGTAAACATGGCAATACTTATCACTGTTTGTACCTTTTCCTATATAACAGGTGCCCAAGTTGATACAATTATATATGATGTCACAGACCTAACAATTTTCTTACAGCACAACAACTTGTCCCTGACCACCTGTGTGTATAGTGGTAGGATGTCAAATTATTCAGTGATTCATAAGACTACAATGATACACTCCTGGATCGATACGATATGCATCACAGTATTGACCCCTTGGTTTGGAATATTTCGATTCAATACACAAAGAGATTAGAGGTTAAAAGAAAAACACAATTTTTAGGAAAAACAAAGTTTATTCTTTGGAACACAAATAAATAAAGATATTTTTTACATTTCTTGACTTAAAATGGAATAAGTCATGAAGTACATTTAAATGTCTTGGAATATAATACAATACAAAATGTCCACCATCATCAGTGTCATTAAATGAACACAGTTGGAATTATTTGTAAGAATGAAAAACAAAATAAAACATTCACTGATAGCCAACAGAATTTTCTCATGAAAAAGGATCTTTATCTGATAGTCTTGTGAGCAGTCACTAAATCCAATACAAATATTGAAAATATCCTTCATTGAACATCACTTTGAACCAGTTAGAAGCCTTATTGCATTATTTAGCAATATATCGTGTTGTTCAAGGAATGAACCAAAATCAGCACAATCTGAACCATAAATCAGACCGAAAGTAAATTCCGCGGTATATTGTGAGTGAGTGAGGTGAGGTGAAATGGAGTTGAACGTCGCACTGAAGAATATTTCACTCATATGACGACGTGCATGCGTGTGCATCTGTGGCTGCTTGTACTAGCCCAGACTTTAAGCTGGTTTTCTAGTGCAAGCTCGCTGAGATATCATGCTGCAGTTAAGCATGAATACCCCACCGCAGACACATAATACTGACTCTGAGCCGATCAGTCCATGTTGAACCCAATAATGCCGACAGCCAGACATGGACCAACAAGTACCATATTTTTACGTCTTTTGGTATGATGCAGTGAGTGAGTGAGTTTAGTTTTACGCCGCACTCAGCAATATTCCAGCTATATGGCGGCAGTCTGTAAATAATCAAGTCTGGACCAGACAATCCAGTGATCAACAGCATGAGCATCGATCTGCGCAATTGGGAACCGATTACATGTGTCAACCAAGTCAGCGAGCCTGACCACCCGATCCCGTTAGTCGCCTTTTACGACAAGCATAGTCACCTTTTATGACAAGAATGGGTTGCTGAAGACCAATTCTACCCCGGATCTTCACGGGTCGGTATGATGCAGCCAGGGATTGAACCCTTGGCCTTCTGCTTTCCAGGCGGATGCCCTAACCACTACACCACAGAGGCGGTCTAGTGATTGAGTGAGTGAGTAAGTTTAGCTTTACACCATATTCAGCAATATTCCAGCTATATGGCGTCGGTCTGTAAATAATCTGAGTCTGGACCAAACAATCCAGTGATTGGGATCTACGTAATTGGGATACTATGACAAGCATGGATTGCTGAAGATCAATTCTAACCGAGATCTTCATGGGTCTGGTATATTGAGAACCGCGGTATACTGTTGAGGCACTACAGATTCAGATCCAAATCCTGAATGTTTGTACTGCTTTCCCAGTGTTTGTAAAAACAGGGTGTGTTGGGATCCAGATGTCTGTTCCTGTAGTTTTGAAATTAGGGACTTCCCCAAATTTGTAACGCAGGTAAGGACCTATTACTTTTTAACTTATTTTGAATACTGCTTACTATTACCTCGTTTCTAAATGTTGATGCTTAAGGATTTGACAAAAAGATGTTACTAAGATATAAGGAAGTGCAACAATAATATAAACTGGAGTCAAAGTAAATATATATTTTAAAAGTGCTTGTCTGTATAAAGCCTTCCCTGAGTAAACAAACATTTGTACACAAAGTTGCTCACTATCTGCCATGACACGGAAGATGATTCATCGCCAGGAAACTCCATCAAGATGAATATAAAAACTAAATGGGAAACTTCCTCATCCAGAAAAGAAGTTACTGTAAACTGCATAGTCTTCAGATGGAGAGCAGTGAGCAGAATATTTGGGGGCATGAACGGGAGAGGTTGAAGCATGAGCAGTACAGTTTGGGGCATGAGCAGTACAGTCTGGGGCATGAGCAGTACAATTTGTGTGTGAGCAGTACAGTTTTGGGCATGAGAAATACAGCTGAAGGGGTTAGCAGTACAGAAATACAGGTTTGAGACATGAACAGGACATTATATTTTTGTATGAGCAGTACAGTTTGTGTGCGAGCAGACCAGTTTGAGTGTGGGCAGTACAGTTTAGGGCATGAGAATACATTATTTTTTAAGTCTGGGCAGTATAGTTTAGGGAGTGATCAGTACAGTTTGAGTGTGAGCAATACAGTTTTACAGCATGCAGGGTTTTACTGTGATTCCTGCGTATTTGACGCAACAATTTTCTAAAATACACTCAAAATATTATCATACGAGTCAAGCTTGACGCAAGTTTTATGAGTGACCCTCAGAATTCAGTTAAATAAAATCGATTTGATGAGCAAATCGCATGATAGCTTTCGTTTTATTGCAAACTGTGTTGAAAACGCTCATGATAATAACAGAAAGTACGGGAACACTGAATGGCTAAAAATAGAGCCATGCTAGAAAGCAGTGAAAATACCCGCCAACAGAATTCATTTTAAGTATGTCATTCCCTATGTTTAGACTATGTTTTCGTCATATAAGCATTGTCTATTCTGCTAAGGAACAGTGGTCATTTGACTCCTTTTTCAGTTATGAAACTGAAAGCAAGAAAAACAAATCTCCTGACGTTTCTAATGATGAGCACTAAAACCAGCTGCAAAATCATGACCTGTGATATGTGCATTCAGGCAAAAAAATAAATCAAACCCCTTTACATTTGGTTGTCAAATTTTTCAGAAGTCGACATGAATGAGACATCAAGCTTCTTAAGATCACATTGATGCAGTTAAAATTCACAAACTGCATCAGCATTTCAGCACATCTGTCAAAATGAAGTAAAGGCATACTGATGCTTTTGATTCACACAAAGAAATATTACACTAAGACTTTAATGACTCCCAAATAATGAAAATGACTCCCAAAAATAAATACTGTGAGTCACCATGACTCCCATTTTTCAAAGTCTGTGTAAAACCCTGGTCATGTAACAGATATCCTATCCTATATTCTCTCACTGGACCTCGAATAGTCACTTGGTCAAGACAAACACAACATATGATACAGGTTTGACATGACACATGATACAGGTATGCCATATGGTATTGGTATGGTCGGACATATGGCATAATCACCCTTTTACATCAAACATGACGCCATATCACCATGACATCCCCAAATATACTGAATATTCCATAGCATAAGGACTTGTGACACCTGCCATATAAATGGAAACAATCTATTCAGCACACACTGTTCAGCAGTCAAAGTGGGGGTCAGCTGACTACAACTTGTGGGGATTAAGAAATCCAGACATGGGCTCCACAAACAATGACAAAGTACTGCTGGGACACTGCACAGGTGATTTATATTTGTAAGTGTGTCAGCTGAACACCACACCACCCACAATGAGACATTTATAGAC